GCCTGCAGGCACTAAGTGCTGCCACATGAGTAATGGTCTCTCGGTTAAGATTCTGGAGGGCAGTGTCAAAACGCCTTCAAGAGAGGGGGGAAAATTGGGGGTAGTTTCCTATTCTCTCAGGACCAGTGCATCATCATGCCTAATCTTTCACAGTGCCTCTTAAGTAATTTGTGGTAAGTCTATAAGGTTGATGGAGAACGGCCACCGATGTGGTGCCACTTCAAATCCTCACAAAAGCAAGTAAGCTGTACAATTTCAGCAGTCTTTGCATTTTGGGTTGGGAGCACCAAATTAGCGTGCTTGTATATCTTTGTTAAAGGCTAGCACGCAGAACTTTTACTTGTACTTCACATTAGCCATTACCAGCTTCCAGGAACATACACAGAGGCCAATATAAGCTTTGTGCATTGTTCTCCCAGAATGGCTTTCCACAGAAACACCTCTGGGGGGGGGAGAAATCATTTAACAAGCTGTGTAAATGATTTTTTTTGTGTGTATGTGCAAGATGTGCAGTCACTAGCAGTTCAAACATTTCAACATCATTGTGGAGTTTAAATGTCTATAAATATACTTACGATTGTAGCTTTTCATAGTCAATCACCATTACAGTACAGGGCTATTTTTCCTCACTTCTTCCAACTACCCACCCCGGTCTCATTCTCCCATCTCAAAGCCAGATGTATGTTTTTTTTTTNAAAAATTAACTTCTGTGGGAATGTTCTTTTCTGGGGAAAAGCAGCCTTTCCGATCCATGGGAATTGTGGTTGCCTAGTTATTTGTGTTTTATGTTCTGGAGACATATGGTAGAGTGAAGTGCACTCAAGACATCAGCACCCATGGAGAAGAGGCAATGGCCTTTAAACTTGGGAGGCCAAACCAGCAACTGATTATCTAGGGAATGATTTGCATTGATATTTCTGTCACAAAGCTTCAAGGAGGTGATTATACCAGTATATACGTACAACCATCTTCCACACTTTCTGTTCTTTGTCATATTGCTGTTCGAACAACTATTTGTGACTGCTTTGGGGATTGAGTAAATTTGTACTATAGGTGGTGTTTGTACTACCAGAGGGAGATCGAAGAGGTCCTTTACTTGCTGAAATTTTGAAATACATAATTGTAGCATGTAGGTGCAAACGGCCAGTGGTGCTGTACAATAATATGTACTATAATGTGTTCTGCCTCGGGGTGGGAAACTGAAAATATGTAATTCCCGGTCTCTGTCTGTCTGGCTGTTGGAAAGATGTAGAGCTTTGGGAAGCCACTTTTCCAGAGGTGCCTTAAAAGTGTTCAACATAGCTCGGAATGAGTAGTTACTAAACCATGTGGTTGGAAGAATGGCAGAAGGCCAATTGCCCTGTGAAATAACCAGGGGTCATATCTAGTGGGATGGGAGACCAAAGAAAATAATAATAATTAAATTGAAGTATTGGTCTGGGTATAGTTTCTCAGCACCGAAGTGACCAAAAGTTTATTAATTTTCTAGCAATCGGTGTGTATGTATGCGCATCTGTGCAGTGCTTTATTTTTCAAAACTGATGGGCTGAGAGGTCAAAATGAGAGTGCAGTTATTCACAAGAGAAAAGTAGTAAAATTCACTATGCACTGAGAGGCGAAACATATTTTGCAGATGGGAAGATTTTTTTAAATCCTGTCATTCCTGCAGTAATTTGAGTTCTGCCAAATACTTCCCTTTTGCTTTGCATTCAATAGTTGTAACTCATTACGACTAATCGGTGAGAAAATCTTGATACATCTGCATTCGATAAAAGCCATTTGCTTCTGTTTTATTTATGCTTTATATTTATAAATATTGCCAAATTTGTTTTTATCAATGTATGTATAAATATTTAGAAAAATGTTTATATTTCTCCTTCTGTTTCTATTATTATTGATCCATTTTGATAGTGATTAACTTCTGTTCAGATTCTTTCACGAAAATCTGTGTTTGGATGATTTTGGAATCGTTCACTACACCTTTGTTTTTTTTTGGTGGGAAATAAGAAAGAGGAAAGCATATCGAGACCTGACCAAACTTGAGAAAGTAGTTTTCTGGCAGTTATTCGCAGTCCTTAATGTACTTACAAGATACTGAGAAAATCCTTATCTGACTTTGTTTTATCATAATGTCAAAATAGTCTTGCCCGAGTACATATATATCAGCGTTGAATATACTAGACAGCAGACTTCACATTGGACTAGGCGTTAGCTGTTGATGTGAGGCCTTGCGCAAACCAGAAACGGAGTACATTTCACGGCTTAAATCTGTAGGCTAGCCAGAGGAGTTTGGTCACCAATTTGTCACCAGTAAATACCATTTTATAAACATTTTTTTAATGTGATTTGGAAAATTCTAGGTCCCGATTGTTATAATATAGTATCCTACTCTCGGGAATTTTGATCACAAATGAAAAGAGTGAGACTATCTAAATGGTGGGGGAAGAGAGTTACGAATTTGTTTAGCAGCATCTACAAAAGTATCGGAGAGCTCACAAAACCCAAGAAAGATTGCAAGGACAGGGCGTGGAAACCGTGAAGGTACAGGTAAACAGGATCATGACAAAAAAGGAAGTCTCCAGTTTTGTGCATGTGGAATAATTTGTGAAAAAAGCAAAGTGGGGTAGTGGAAGGCACCGACAGCTGAAAAAGCCATCGGTAACATTCCCTTGTTCATACTGTGCTTCTCGCTGAGAAATTGCTCTGATCGGCTAAAGTTAATTTGTCCACAAGTTGGATATCTATAATATCTACATCAATTCAAAAAGAAACAAGAACTTGTAAGCAGTGAGTTTTTAGGAGCAGAAATGAAACCCTGCGGGGTTCATTGTGGAACTTCCCCTTTAGTTCCACAGAATTTTTTTTTCCCCTTTAAAGTTTAATAGTGTCTGTTTCATTGTTAATCGTGTGTACATTGACCCTAGCGGGGCATGCACACATCTGTTACTGGATGTTAGCTGCGTGCAGTTTAAATGCAGTTGTTGATCCAATGCCAGGATTGTTAACTTCACTGTTTCCATGAAGGGCTATCCCTTTTTCCTATTTAGTTTTCGATGATAAATGGACCTGGTGTTTGGGGCATTGGGAAATGGGTGTGTTCACTTGCATACTGTATATTGGAAATAATTTTGAAGGTGGTAGTCCGGAATCCATGAAACTCCCAACCTACACCCTAAAGGAGTAGCTCAAAAACACTCATCGAAATCTGTGTACCTCACACTTAATCATCAACCACGTGACCAGTGGCGTCACTGTGCAGAAAGCCGTTCAGCTCTATCAGCAGACATTACGTTTCAAATCCATTGTTAATCTAACTTGTTTTGAAGAGTGGCTACTGATTTGGGTGGCAAAATGCCAGGATTTGGGATTTTCGGGTAAGAAAACACAAGGGTCCACAACCCAATCGTATTTTGAGTGAACCCGTGTTATAACAAAGCATTTGCCTTGTTGTGACACACAAAAAAGGGCCCTGAAAGAGATTCATCTTTTAAACTCTTACACACAGAGGGAAATTGCTCTCATACAACAATTACATTCTCAGATTCCACTGTTTGTAAATTTCATGAGATTACAGGATTTGTTTCTGCCCGTCATTCATATACAATCTTATTTTTTGTGTGTGTAACCTGAGGGGCACTCATTTATCTAGTGACATTAAATGTTATCTGTTAAAGATCAATTTACCCATGAACTCTAGATGTTTGTAAGCTATTATAAGATTACCCATTTCTTTTATAAACTACAATATCAATGCTATCTGTGTAGTCTTCTGTATTGCATTAAATACTGGAATACACAGATTAATGCCTAATATTTTGAGACTTTTATGTTGAGTGAATTTTTGCTTCTCGTGATAAGAGATTGCAAACAGATTGGTCAAATATAGAATAAATGTACCTTACTTTACTGTCCCATCTGTCCCTAGTGCTTTTCTTTTTTTGACACTGAACAGCTTGTGACCTCTGTATGATCGCAGTAAGTGCAGAGGTTTGTGATGTTTATTTTACTGTATCTTGCTCACACAGAGTTCTTGGTGAATCACTTAGCTTCATGTAACTTGTAAAATAAAGATCTATACGGAGTATTGGAGGATTTCAAGGAATCTGATCTGGTCCAGAGTTGTTCTATATGTCCTAAAGTAAACCAGAATAGAAAATGCCTGAAAGGATGGTGGAAACAGATTCAATAAGAACTTTCAAAAGGGAATTAGATAACTACTTGCAAAGGAAAGAATTGCAAGGATCTGGGGAAAGAGCAGGGAAATGGAACTGATTGGGTAGCTCTTTCAAAGAGCCGGCGCAGGCACAATGGGCTGAATGGCCTCCTTTTGTGCTGTAATATTCCATAATTCTGTGAATTATAGAAGATTGAACCCTACTTAATTTTAAAAAGCTGAGAATGTTTGAAAGAGTGGAGCTTTGTGTGTGACCCCGAAAATGTTCACTCATTCTAGTACCTCTTCCTTAAAGGGCCTATTTGATAATTCTATCCCCTGTCTCCTAAAGAAGCTGAGTTCTGCAACTCAGCAATACTCACTGAATTCTGTGAATTTCACACTTAATTATCAACATGAATATCTACACAGTAGAGCATTGTGACTGACTGACTGGGAGTTAGCCAAATAGTATTGATAATACAATAAACCACAAAATAAATGGCTTAATTAACTGATCTTCATAAACTGGATAGAAGGGTCTGCAGTGCTCGGTGGCAGTCCAGTTCTTCTGTTATTGGTGACCTACCTGTTTGGTCGCTTCTGTCAGATATGTGGCTGGGAGCCACTTTAATGGTCTGATACTTGCCTAGACAGTGACTTCAGTGGCAAATTTGCAACCCAAATGAACTCGGTTATCCTCTTTTCTAATACTGTTTTATAATTTTGTTCTAGCTTGTATAACTAACATAACCTGTTAATCGGAATGCAAATACCCTGCACCTTTGCTGATATCTATAGAGAACCATTTGAGCGTAACCAAACCATTGTTTTTTCCCCCTCCCAGGAACTGACATTGCTGCGGGAGAAGAGGTGGCTATCAAGCTAGAATGTGTGAAAACCAAACACCCACAGCTGCATATCGAGAGCAAGATCTACAAGATGATGCAAGGAGGGGGTAAGGTTTTCCACCTTTAATTAACCGCCCAGTTTCTCCCAAGCTCTCACACCCTTCAATCATGTTTCGCATTTTCAGTATCTTGCTGTGAGTCCAAACGTTTACCTCTTTTGGTGTTTGAAATGGTATCACAGCTGGACATTTACTGGACCATCTGTTTGCTGAAAATCTGTTTCTGTGAGGCCTCGTTGTCTTGTTACTTACCTGTCATGTGAACACAAATGTGACCTATCAGAGGCATGTTCCCCACCCTGCGTACACCCAAAGTCATTGCACTCCCATATGCTGTGTAGGGTATGTCAGTGAAGTGGTCTAGATTGGTGTGCTTAAGGTGTTGCCTACCTTATCGGCCTGGAAGATGATTTAGTTCACTTCTACCGTAACTACCTAATTATTGATGAAAGGTACCTGTTGCATGTTTCTTACTCCTGGCGGGCACAAGCAGCAGTAAAATTCTACAGGCACCCACTTCCCAGATGCTTCAGCTAAATGGCTATTTATATGTGGGCCTTATTTGTGCTAACTAGCTGGGTGAGCATGATAAAATTGTAGCCATCCCTTTTGCTGGTAGTCTTCCTTATGTGTCTTTCTTGCAGTGATCAAAGCAGGAATCCTGGCTTTTTTTTTAAACCTTGTCAGGTCCTTGAGGGAAATGTAACATCCCAACTACTGGCTGAAATCAGCAAACTCTGCACAAACATGCAACCTTTATAATAATAATAATCCTTGCATTTGATATAGCGCTTTTCACGTCGGGAGGACGTCCCAAAGCGCTTCACAGAACACACTGTAAAGTGAATTGACTGTATATTTGTGGGCGAACGCGGAAGCCAATTGCGCACAGCAATGTCCCACAAACAGTCGTAGATTGAAAATGACCAATTTATTATTGTTTTTGGTTTTGGAGGGATTATTATTATTAGGCGTGTGGAGTAAGGAAACTTGCCCAAGGTTTCGCCCTACCTGGAATTGAACTCGGGTCTCTCGCTCGCTTTATAGCTGAGTGCTGCACTGGGTAGTGTTCTACCTCGTGGGATCCTAGGTATGTGTCGTGCTTTTTAAAATGAATGCATCTTTTGAGGAATTCTTAATAGAAAGCCTCAACATCTAGGAGATTTGGTAGTTCATTGTATAAAAGGACATTACAGTTCATGCAAGAGAGTTCATAATGGAATACACCTTTAGGAAGTAGTGAGTTTAGAATATTTGGTATATTCAGGTTAGTAGAGAATATTCTTTTTACAATTTAACAGCAGTCAGCAAATGTTTATTACCAATCTTATGGAGTCTTGTAGCTCAGTGATTATAGCAAAGGCGAGTCATTGGGAAAGTTTCATTACTCAACACGCCTCTATCTACCTAGCAGTAAGTACGAACTCGGTTCTTAGTCAATTGGTAGATCGCTTTTCCTGTATCAATTCCTTCAAAAAAAATAATAAATAGGTCACTTCAATCCACGACAGTTTGAGGGACACTGTGTTCGCAATTGGTTGCCGCGTTTCGCCCACAAAATATGCAGTCAATTCATTTTACAGTAAATTCTGTGAAGCGCTTTGAGGCGTCTCAAAGACATCGTAAGGCACTGTATCAAATGCAAGGATTATTATTTATTATTATGACCTTTCTACACCACCAACCTGCCAGTGGAATTTGAATTGCAAATTATAGCTGCAGTTCCAAGAAGTACTTAGGTCAGGCCCAACTTATCAGATCATGAATGTAAAGTCTAGATTCTTTTAATCTTGATGTACCATAAACTAATTTGTTTTGTAGGGAGAGGAGGTGAGATTGTTTCAGCAGGTCATATGATATATTCAAGTGCAATACAGCAATATGAGCCATGGTTGTGTTTGATGCTTTTCTTAATCCCCGTGTGTTAGCGAGCTACATCCTCCACGATTCTTTTCTTACATCAGTAGGTGTACTATTCTCTACCCATAGTGTTGTAACTACTTTTTTTTCAAGATGCTGCAGGTGATTTTAATTCATTTTTCTTTTGTCATTGAATCCTTTCGCTTGGCTGAATTCTTTACTCTTGAGTTCTTTCTCTTCCCTCTTCCACCACCCCCACCCCCCCCCCCCCTGCCCTAAAACAAAGTAATGGAATGGGTCACACACTATCTCCAACTGCAGGTGGAGTTTTGCGTAATCCATGACCACTGTTGTATTACCTAGAATTGTAGTACATGGGTTTGTGGTATAGTTGCGTCACGTCTCTTGCTGCTAATAGGAAGAGCTCTACCAATTTCCCCTTTCAGCAGCAGAGTAAATGCTGTATTTATTTCATCCCCCTTCATTTTTCTGTTTCTGACTTGCTGAGATAAATTCATATAGGCTGGGGTGCCCTTCAGTATATCACCAAAGTGTCTGTTCCTCATGGGTGAACCTGATCCTATCCTTGTTTGATTCAAACTTTTAAAAGGCTTCAAACAGCCAATTTGTTCATGATTTTGTACGAAGAGCATTGCAACATTGCACACATTTCTATCCCTTGCTGCTGTTAGCATTGGGTTACATTTGTCCTGTTGCACATTTACATTGCCAGTTTACTGCCGAAAAATGTTCCAAAGTTGCTGGTAAATTTGCAGTATGAATGAGACGCTCACCACTAAATAATTCTTTGCTCTGACAGCTTAAATGTAAAGTTGACAGACCAGTAAACTGTGGCTGAGGCTGTCACGTGCTGCCTGCACAGAACAGCAACCTGGTTTTACTGTCGCTAGTTTATACAGATATAGTTATAAAGTGCAGCTGTCTGCTGCAAAGCTGCTCCGCAACAAAAATAGGTCGGTTACATCAGTTGCTTGTGTTGTAGAAACCACTTTGGCAAACTGGTTCTGCAATACAAGTACTGTATTATATATTGCAGTTCTGTTGCAGTGTTTTTATTAAACACGAGATGGCATTATTTGCTCAACCTTGGTATACCATTTGATTGTGGGAGGCTTTTGCAGCCTATTGCTTGCAAGCATCACGTCACATTTTCTCTTAGAAAGGAAGTTACTTTCTATACAGAAATTTCCCATCTCGCCTCCCATCTATTTGTCATATTGAGCACTAAATATTAGCTCTTGACTGACTGCAGCGATGTTCCTTCCCAGTGCTGCCAGCATTCTTGGGTTCTGACCACGGTGCCAGTTAATGAATAAAATGGGGAGAAGAGTTACTGTTCATTGCTTAAGAGCTGTTCTATCTGACCCCGAAAGATGATGTAACAAATCTCTGTCTCTCTGCAAAATTACATGATCCGATCTGGCTCGCATTCTCTAAGTGATGGTTTCCATGGGCCTGGCAGCAACATTACAGTAGCCATTGTGTTCCACAGAACTAATTATTGTTTATCTTTCAATCCCATTGATCAGACGCTCCTTTTTGTTTAAATGAATTAATTGAGATATATTTTTGTTTAAATTAGCTAATTGATGCAGCATCAAGTGCTTTTGTAGTCCGTTCCACATATGTACTAAACTTCATCAGACTTAATTGTTTTGAAGCTTGTTAGCTTTGTGTTCATGTCCTCGTGTTTTATAATGATTATGCAGCAATTTCTACAAATTGTAAACTGGACTAAATCAACACTTTTATAGACTAAATATACATTTATGCCACCAGTGCTGGAAGCCATTGTTAAAATCATTCGATACGATGGAATGTTTTCATAGGCAATTTAATATGTGGTTTAAGGCAAATTACCTTTTGGTAATTTGAGTTCAATGGAAGGGAGTGGCAGGTGCTACTCTTATGAAAGGGCATTGTAACAGCACAGTATGGCAGTTGCAGCTGAATTGAATGGCTTTCTGAATTCAATTGAATATTGCTGCCTGCATAAAATGTGAAAGACATTAAAACATAACTGAGAATTTGTAGGATTTGGGCGGATTGTCACTTTTGAATATAATTATCCTGAAATCTTGTTCACCCTATACAGCGATTTCCCATCTCGCCTCCCATCTATTTGTCATATTGAGCACTAAATATTAGTGCTATTGCTAATCGCTGAAGCACTAGTCCTTGTGATTTGTAATCCAGAACCCAGTTTTACAGTCCATTTGTGAGTCCGAATTGTAAGGGTAATGAGTTGCTATTTTGTTTTGTTCAGCTTTTTAAAAATTTGTACGCTTTGTTTTCTAGTTGGCATTCCCACCATCAAGTGGTGTGGCGCCGAGGGAGATTACAATGTGATGGTTATGGAGCTACTTGGACCAAGTCTCGAGGATCTTTTTAACTTCTGTTCACGTAAATTCAGTCTTAAGACAGTCCTGCTCCTTGCTGATCAGATGGTAAGAAATGTTTTCATCCATTTAATTTTCCATGCTTCTAACGCCTGAAGAATTTCCTTGCCCCCGTCCCCTTTTGTCACTTGTGCTCTGTAGCACTGTCTGTAGCTTTCTTCACGGAGTCTTTCAACCTAAGTTGTATAAGAGATTTAGGTTCGCAAAGAATATTGGAGATGCTCAGTACTTTGGGAAGGGCAGTTCTGAGATCTCAGAGCTGAGATATATGGATACTTTGCATTTTATGCCTAGAGGTAGTTTTTCCAAGCATCGAGGGATTGTACTCTTCGCTGCTTTTCCAACAAGTGCTTTTTCGACCTTGTTTTCTCAAAGCTCAAATGTGGCATCTGAAAGATTTGAGTGCTGGTGGGGATAACTTAAGAAAAGGGAAATGTGCTGTTGCAATTAATTGATTTTAATGTGTGAGGTATTGTTGTTCCCCTTCTGAACTTAGATCAGCAGGATTGAGTACATTCATTCAAAGAATTTCATCCATCGCGACGTGAAACCTGACAACTTCCTAATGGGGCTGGGCAAGAAGGGCAACCTGGTCTACATTATTGACTTTGGGCTAGCAAAAAAGTATCGCGATGCGCGGACGCACCAACATATACCGTACCGTGAAAATAAGAACCTCACAGGAACCGCAAGATATGCATCCATCAACACACATTTGGGCATAGGTAGGCACCTGACCTGTCCAGAATTGGTGTCCAGTTGAGTTACATGGTAATTAATGTTACACAAAACAGGGATCAATACATTTCAGAATGTGCTGATTCCAGACAATTTTATGCGGTGGGGGGAGGCGGGGAATCGCTATGCTCAATTTTAGAAAAGTGCAGCAAATGTGCAAAGTGTATGAACTATGTGTAAAAAGGATGTGTGGCTGTTACTTTGTAAATATAGAATTCTACAGCATTTCTGAAATTTAGGACTATTGCACTGCACTTTATCGGTGATTTTCATGCAAGTTTCACCACTAAAATTGAGAACTATTTTCACTTGAGATACTGGGGATTGTTGCTTGATTTCCTCAACTAATGGATATGTCTCTGTTCCAGAACAAAGTCGTCGTGATGATCTGGAGTCCCTGGGCTACGTTCTGATGTACTTCAACTTGGGGTCCTTGCCTTGGCAGGGGCTGAAGGCTGCCACCAAGAGGCAGAAATATGAACGCATCAGTGAGAAGAAAATGTCTACTCCCATAGAAGTGCTGTGCAAAGGTTACTCCTGTAAGTATCAACCTCTTATCAAGGTGAAATTGATTTGTTATCCTTATTCATGTAATTAGCTTATGTACCACTTCTTGGCCACCAATGGTTTCTCCTTTAGTCCTCGCACTGTCATGTGTGACGTCCCTAGGCTCTCTGTCCTCGGTCTCCTCTTATTCAAACTATACATGCTCCCGCTCGGCGATGTCATCTGCAGGCATGGGGTCAATTTCCAACTCTATCTTGCCACCTTCACCCTCGACTCCAGGACCGGTGATGTCCTGGCTAATTGTCTGTCTGACATCAAGTCGTGTACGCGAGCCTACTTCCTCCTGCTCAATGTTGGCAAAATAGAGGCCCTCTCTTGCCTCCTTCAAGTCCCGTCTGAAGACCTTCCTCTTCGACCATGCCTTCGGCCTCCAAACCCCCCGTACTTACTCCCCTTCTGACTCCCAGCTCAGGTCCAAAACCACTTTCCAGCATCCTGAAACGTCCTTCCGACATGAAAGGCGCTATACAAGTGTAAGTTGTTGTTGTTATACCACAGAAATGGCCTGGTAGAACTATTTGACTCCCAACCTGTCATTCTAAAATTGTTTTTTTTATTCAGGTCAATTTCTGTATACTTGTCAACATGCTAGAATTGAGTGCTGCAAGTGTTGTATGTTAGGGTGGTGAAGGGATTGGGAGTAACTGAACTAGGCCAATTCTCATTAAATCTGCTGGTGAGTATCTGAACAATATTATTTACTCTAGAGTACAACTCTGCACAGCACTAAATAATATTGCTCAGATACTGAGCAATCAATATGAGCAATATTATTTACCTACCGTCTAAAACCAGGTGCATTGACCTGTTAAGGGGATGAAGTATTTTCAAAATTATAAGACATTCATAACTAATGCTTTCTTATTCCCTAAGCCACTCTCTAAGCATAATTAGGATGTCCTCCTGACGTGAAAGACAAATGTAATTTTGTTTTGTATAATCATCTGGCCAAGGATTGAGAAGATTGACTTGTAAATGAGGAGAATTGTGCAGAGTTTGACTTGAACTCATTCATTTCCACTTGCCCTGATTGTTACCAAGATCTAAAATATTGGTATTCGTTTTGCTTTCCCCCACAGCGGAGTTTGCTACATACCTGAATTTCTGCCGCTCTCTGCGCTTTGATGACAAGCCAGACTACTCCTACCTGAGACAACTATTCCGCAATCTCTTCCACCGACTAGGCTTCTCCTATGACTATGTCTTTGACTGGAACATGCTCAAGTTTGTAAGTTTTATGTTAACACTGCTTTGAAGTGCGCAAATCTACTGTAAAAATTACATAGGATTAGTTTTATGCGTACCAAAGTGTGATTTCATAATGGGAAGGGCAATGGTGAAATGAACCTTCGTACTTGAATCACAGCTGTTGATCAAAAACATCTAGTGCATTTGCCGTAATTGTATAATGTATGCACATTCAGGTTTAGCGCTAATATGTTTTGCTTCACCTGAAGACCATTTTGGGATATCTCTTTTAAAAAGTCTGCTTGCTACTCCATGTAAAAGGCGCTATATAAATGCAAGTTGTTGCTGCTGCTGAGGTTTACGACGGGACACGGGCCACAAGCTGCAGATTAGTTACTTTGTGGTGAAAGTACTCTTGTGGCATCCAGAAAATCCTCTATGTCCAAGCTTACAATGCATAATCAAAGAGGTTTGCTACATGGTATTGTGGTGACCCATTTGCTCCATCAACTGATTCCCACCTTGTCTAGTTGTTTCACTTCTTGCTGAGTCGGTCCAAATCTAGCTCCACTTGCCAAATCTAGCTTCATTCTCCTTTTGGCCCAATGGCTTTGTGTGAAGTATTAATTTTAATTAAATAAACTACATGCGTTACCATATTGAGTTATGATAACTTTCCCGAGGAGCATATAACAGATGATCAGTTTCCCAAACTGTTTTGTATCACACCAGAGCTCATTGTTAAGATTTTGAGCACCTGCCTCTCCCTTTAGTTCCCTTTTGTTTGTAAAGCCAAATAAATCTATAGAAATTTACATTTATTTTGGTTCTAAGAAATCTTTAATTGTATGAGTATTTGTCTAAGGAAGTACAGTATCAATTTACTTTTCCCAGTTAATAGGCAAACATTGCTGTACAAGGTCAAAAGCTAATACTCCTGAAAGTATAGCCAGTCATGCATATCTTTTGTTGGCGGCTGAAAATGTAATGACAAAGTAAACTATTTTATGGTTTATTAGCTCCGTACATTGAACTGTATTGATAGATAAATCACCAAGCTTCGGGCATGGTGGTACCACTTCCTGATAGTCTGCCAAGTGTTTTATTCACTCATAATGCGTCATATCTCAGGGCATTCAAATGGTAGCCTCCAAACGATTGATCCCTAGTAAGGTCTTCTCTTGGTTCCAGGGGGCCAGCAGAGCAGCGGAAGATGCTGAACGAAGAGAACGGGAGGATAGGATGAGGCACGGACGAAATCCAGCAGCACGGGGACTACCATCAACTGCTTCTGGGAGACTGAGAGGAAACCAAGAAATGGCACCCCAGACACCTCTCACACCCACCTCCCACACCGGTAGGAAATAGCTACTAACTGAGTCTACTCAATAGGGCTGTTTCTGACCACTCAGGACAGGTGGTCTTGTCAGGACACCCGAATTGTGTGATTGTGGCGTGACCCAAGTCTAAGCCTTTCATGAGTTTCAGTTCTAGTCCCGTTCAGTTTCCTCTCGTTTTATGTGACCGATGGAAAATTAAATTGATGTTTGTAAGCAGCATTCCTTGTTGCGTTTAGTGCATGTGCTGTTTCTAACTTGGGTTTCCACCACCATATATGTTGCATTGTGTAACAAACCCCCACCCTCCACCCCCAGGTAGACCGTATCCACAAAGCATTCAATGACAAGAAACAGGATGCCTCACCCACGAGATTTATTTATGATCGTATCACAAAACTATCAATCTGTTCTTAAACGTACGTGAACAAACTGTACAAGATGCTTTTGAAAGTACTAGTTTTAAAGTGAATGAATGTCGTGCTGGCTGTCGCTCATCTGGCGTCTTGGAGCTGAGCTGGTACCTGATGTCTGAACGGAGGCAGTAAACTCACAGCAGCATCTTTCACAGTACTTGGCCCTAAATAAGCACAAAAGGCTAGCTGGACTAGCTGTGATAAGGATCTGCTTTTTTTTAAAACAATAAAAATGACCTTCTATTAATGATAATCAAAGGAGAGGGAGGGTCTGCAGAGTTTACTGGCTTTGTGGTTTTTCTTTTGCGGTATTACCTAAAGTTTTGAGCAGAAAATTGTGCAGAAATAGCTCTTAAACACAAACCTGAGTTTGGGATTGCTTCTGTGTTTGTGTTATTTACCAGAAGATTGCAAATTTAAAATGCAGTTGATAATGTGTCGGTCAAGTAGCTAGAAATTCTGTAAAAAGAAAGTTACTGCATCTTAGTTAAGTACTAGGATACGTGCAGGGTAGAATCATCTTAACACTCGAAGAATTTTCTCTTTCCATCAGATGCCCCATTGTTGCATGCTTTCATCTTTAAAGCAGTTTCATGTTAATATTTTTCTGTAGCGTTTGTAAATCACTAAACCTCAGGGACCCATAAATTCCCATTGTCACACAGACCAATTTTATATTCTGCAAATGAGTGGACTGGATGAAATTGGAATGTTGCAAATCTGGCCTCAGAAAAGAAGTCTCTACCTGGGTCCAGACTTGCCAGCTTTCTTTCCTTAGCGCACAAATGGACAATTGTAAAATTCAACTTTCAATTTGAAGTCTCAAGAGCCTTCAGAAAAACAGCTTGAAAAATGACATTGAATTTTAAGTATTTTCCCAAATTTGCACACTCTGAAACACTTAAGGAAAAAAATCTACATCTGGGCTTGGAGGGTGGGGCGGGGGCAATTTCTGCCTTGGTGACTACACTCGAGCTCCAGCCTGTTGGCTCACAAAGGGATCTGAATTCCTTTTACGTTACAACCATGTGATGTGCTTGAAAGCAGATCTGCAATTTGTATAAAATGATGGTATCGCCTAACTGGCAGAAGAAACATTCTGTGGATTTCATCCTGCAAAATTATAATGTAGGGATAAGCAGAGAGAAGTACAATTAATATCTCAGACGGTACTTTAATTCTGTAGGGGAGGGATGTAGAATTTAAAGGTGCACAATGAAGTGTGTTCAGTTTTTGTACAAAAAGTACATTCCGTGGTGTGTGAAACTCGAGATGATCTGAGACAGAATCTTTAACCAGTTATTGATCTCACTGGGCACTTGGGGTGGGGGCGTAGGGAGAATGGCTAATTCCATGGGATGTGAGTACACAGGTAACAGGCTTGTCGAGATTAAGGTTGTACATAGAGCAGTGTGTGATTTAAGAACAAGCTGATCAATAGAGTATGACTGGTACGTAGTTAACAGACTTGGAGTTGTAAAGTTATTGTGAGTGACTTGGTGCAGTGTGGGGAGTGCGGACAGTAGAGACTACTGCAAGTAATTTAGTGGTGCTTGATTAGTAGAGATGATGCAATATAAAATACAATCATAATTCTGGCGAAGAAGTATTCCTGGGAATGGCAACAGGACTAATCTAATGGTGGTTCAGTTGGGTCCTAACTGTGAAAGTGACGTTTGAACATTGTCCAATCCAATGATTAGATTAGAGTCCTGAGCACCCTCCCAGATCTTTTATACGACATATGCTGTGTGTGTTTTTAACATGAGAAACATTATTGTGTATATATTTCTTAACCATTGTTGGGGTAAAATGCTCAGTGCTGTGTGCTGAGATGTGTGTGTGTATATGTGTCTGTCTGTATGTGTGTGTGCGTGTCTGGGGGGAGTGCGGGGAGAAATAATTCAATTTATTAATCTCCTCTGATATTACCAGGGAATAATTGCAATAGATTATAGGTAAATTCTGTATATAGTGTATGCATTCCACCCTCATTATAAAGCTCTCAGTTGCAGCCATTTTGATTATGTAGCTATACCCAATTTTTTTCATGTTCAGTTTTATTGTTTTCAGGATATCACTGTAACATGCACACCAACTCCTTGGCTTCTGAGAGCTAATATAATGAGAATGGAGTGTTAAATTCCAGTAATTCTATGAAGCATTTAAAAAGTTGTCAAATATACTTTGTTGCTAATAAAGAGATTTTAAAACCCATCCATTTGTTTTGCTTTATTTAAGATGTCTAACGTTTAGAAAAGATGCAAAAAAAATCACATGCTATTAACTGATTAACCTAGTTTTGAGAGCAAGTTTTTGAACTGGGATGTGTGGACAAAGACCTAACTAAGCACTTCTTCCAGCAAAAGAAAAGGCTGAAATGATGGGAAACTCGACCTGCTTTCTTGAGAGTTTTAGAATTGATGCATTTCAGGGGAGGCGAAGAAGAAAGGGATTTGTTTTGACTGACTCCTTATATTTTCTGATTCCATTTTGCCGTCACAATTTCTTTCTTTCATTCGGTGTTGGGGATGTTGTTTAAGACTACATCACAGGGAGCATCTCTGTAAATACGACTTAAGACAACATAAAGAAGTGGATGCTCACATTTCAGACACTGCCGCCCATAAAAACTGAACATCATATATAGCCTCTCCTCAGCTGAGCAAACAATAACAAACCCATGTAGAATTGTGGCCTCTCAATCTACAGGTCATGGGGTGCACTTCAAGTCTTGGTGAGAAGGAAATTATGACTTCAGTCTTCAAAACATCACAAGTTTGGTTCAGAGCAAATAGAAAATACCCTTTTGTAAAAACAACAAATTACATCTGTATAGCACCTTTTACATCAGGAGGATGTCCAGGGCAATGTGAGCATCTGCAGTGTGTTTATCACAGTGTAGACCTCACGGATCTAATCTTAAAAACGATCAAGAAGGGGACATTGGTGGAGGAAATCTATAAAAAGGACAGTCAACAGATCATTTTGCCGCAGTGTCCTGTGTTATAGTGCTACAATGCATTGTAATGGTGGTGTGAAGGAAATAAAACAAGCTCAATATTGCAGTAGAATGACAAACCACGGCATTTTTCAAATGTTATTTATATACATTTTTTAAAAAATCTCTTACGTTAGCCTTCTCACTGTTCTTTTAGGTGTCTTACTAGATGGGGAACACAGGACCTGACAATTGTTTTTCTTGGAAAGTTTAACATTGTAAAAGCTTTTTAAAGTGATCACCGCATGACCTATTAATTCCCCATCCTGGTTAGCTCAAGTCAAGTTGAACGGCAGATTTGGAACCAGAAAATTATTTTAGTTCTATACGTGAATCTTTGACACAAAGGGAAACAGTGACCTGTTCACCACTGATACATTCTAAACGTGGCTGGGAGTTCTGTGACAGCATTTGTACAGCGCCTTTCATGTCGAGAGGACGTCCCAAGGCACTGGACAGTAAGGGATCCACACCCAAGCTTACTGAAGTATGGGTGCAACCCTGCAGTCATTTTGTAACATAGTAGAATTGCAATAGTTTCTCATGCTGAGTCATTTAATTGGATATCAACCCAGTGAGTAACCTCCATATTGGATCGGTTAATAATAATAATAATAATCCTTGCATTTGATATAACGCTTTTCACGTCGGGAGGACGTCCCAAAGCGCTTCACAGAACACACCGTAAATGAATTGACTGTACATTTGTGGGCGAACGCGGCAGCCAATTGCGCACAGCAATGTCCCACAAACAGTTGTAGATTGAAAATGGCCAATTTTTTTTATTATTATTTTGGGTTTTGAAGGGATTATTATTAGGCTCTGTGTGGAGTAAGGAAACTTGCCCAAGGTTTCACCCTCTGCCTGGAATTGAACTCGGGTCTCTCGCTTGCAAAGCGAGTGCTCTAACCACTGAACTACAGGACTCCAGTTGGAGTGAGCGCGTGTTTTTTTAAAATATAAGTGTATTTAATGAGAGAGGGAATTATGTACCCAATCTGAACAATTTCAATTGAATTCAGTTAAAACAACAAATTACATTTGTTTTGCGCCTTTCACGTCAGGAGGACATTTCAAGGTGCTGCTTGACAGTCAGGGAAATCCGAAACGTGCTAAGATACTGGATGGAGAACACAGGACCTCACAATCGTTTTTCTTGGGAAGTTTCAACATTATAAAAGCTTTTTAAAGCGATCGCCGCATGACTTATTAGTTCCCCATCCTGCCTAGCTCAAGTCAGTTGAACGGCAGATTTGGAACCAGAAAATTCTGTGTTCGATTCCTGGTGGGAGCCCTCTCTCCTGTTCAAGCTTGTTCAAGTGAATGGATCTCTTAATGTGAAGGGGAAGGAGATAGCGGGAGCTCCCTGAGGCTCTGCTAGCTCCAAGGAGAATTGCTTAATAAGCTTAAGCCTGTCAGCCATAAGGCATTGTTGATGGTTGGCTGGCTGTTCAGCTCATTCATAAGACTTTGAGGTAAGGAGCTGCCTTTCAACTGGTCAAGGCTTTTGTTCACAGATTGAGGACAGCTCAAAAGAGACTATTTATAAGTCTAGAGGTGAAATTTGTTACTTCAATGTTTATATCGTTATTGCTCGCGATAAATATCAATGCTGCAAATTATCACAGGACAGAATTTAGGATCTGGGGCCTTGGATCAGGTCAATCCGGGTGGGGGTAGGGAGATGTTTTTAATAAGGATTTCACTTCCTCTTTAGGCAGATCGTAATGAGAAGCAAAATTTAAATTGAAGACTGGCTAGAATGTTTCTGGCAAGCTGCTCAGATACCACTTGTAGTAAGATGTGGAACATTTTATTTAAAGTGTATTCAGTGAATGAGATGCCTGTCTTAAATCTATAAATACACCATAGAGCTTTTATTCATTCAAAAAGCTAAAAAGATTTCCGACTCCAATCCCCTAAACGTTTATTTTTAAACAGAAGGTGGATGGGTCCATCCCCATATTCTTTGTTGGCCCCTACGACTTAGACGAGGGTTATTACTAGAACACGGAATGCCCTGCCAAAAAGATTTGTAGTTGAAGCAGAATCCATAAATCTTCTGAGAAGGAATGATGATAGATATGTGAAAAGGATCTGCCAAAGGTTTTGCGATTGGACTAAATAAGTAGCTCTGATAGAGGGAAGGCACAGTCGTGAGGCAAAGTTACTAGCCCGAATTTCACTGAGGATTGTTAGAGAATCGTGAAATGGTACAGTACAGAAGGTGACTATTCAGTCCATCACCAACCGTGTCTTCTCTGAAAACAGTAATGTCACAACCTGCCCTTCAAAGAAGCAATTTTAACTTGGCAGTTACACTTGCCTGGCTACTGTTAATTTTGACCGTCGTATAATTCTTTTTCTGGGTTCTTGCCAAAGCAAGTCATGCAAAATTGCTGTCAGCGACCAAAGGTTTAGTTCAAGTATTACTAACTACCCACGCATGAGCACGTATTCCACGAACTGAGTTTACGGGACGCAACAACTGATCTTACAGGCCCCGCATAAACACTTCACATATAAGCGTGGAGCTCAGTGGTTAGACTACTCGCCTCGCAAGCGAGAGGACCTGGGTTTGATTCCTGGGCAGAGCGAGATATTGGGCAAGTTTACTTACTCCACACGCCTCTGTTCACCTAGCAGTAAGAAAGAACCCGGGTGTAAAGTCGATTGGCGGATCTCTTTTCTAGGGGTAATAATTCGTCCAAAGAATAAATAATAATTTGGTCACTCAATCCACGACTGTTCGTTCGCAATTGGCTGCTGAGGTTTGCCCACAAAATATACAGTCAATTCACGTTACACTATATTCTGTGAAGCGCTTTGAGGCGTCTCGAAGACGTGGTAAGGCTCTATATCAAATGCAAGTATTATTATAAACATAACCATTGTGCAGTGTTTTGGAAATATCTCCAAATAAAATTCAAAGACTACCTTGCCTGTAAACTGGGCAGCAAAGCTGCTGGTGTGAAATATTTGACTGGCCATTATGAGAATAGAGAGAATAACGCAGTTTCTTGTCGATCCTGAATAGGTTTAGACTGGTATTAACTGTCTTATTCTTTCTTCAGCTAATACGTCTCCACGTCCTGTCTCTGGCATGGAACGGGAGCGGAAAGTCAGCATGAGGTTGCATCGCGGTGCCCCTGTTAATGTTTCCTCTTCGGATTTAACCGGACGTCAGGACACATCGCGAATGTCAGCATCACAGGTATAATAGTTGGCTCAAAATATTACACTGATGTTTACACTGCGCTTGGATGTTCTCCTTGATTTCACACAATATGGAATATATGACCCATTATAAGTCATTTTGTTTAACTACTTTATTAACGTTTTTGGAATGATACAATTCACTTTGAAGAATGCAGGTGCGTATTAGCAAAACTGGCATCAATAAGGACTCAAAATGTGCATAGAGCAGTAGAAATGTACAATACAGTGGGAGGCCATGCAACCCATTGTATTAAGTGTCCGTATTTGCTCCTACAATGAAGCCACCTATCCCATTCTGAATTCCTGGTGTTTTTCCCCTCCATATCCCATTATATTGTGGTTTTGCTGGAATCGAACCAGCTGATGCCACCCAGCGTGTGTGGGTACGTGTTGTGCTGAGTTGCAGGTGAGAAGCCCTTTCCTACACATTTGTAATAATTAATTGTGTGTTGCCGCAGTTGAAATGCTTATAGAGTTCCATCTGTATCTTGTTTTAATAGTTGCTAACTGGGCAGCATTCTCAAGTCTAGTGAGTAACTGCTTCAATGTTCATGTGGCTGATCAACCAATAAATGAAGGGATGGTTCATCTTTGAGTGTAACATTCGTAGCAGCCAATAGTCCTAAATCCCAAAAGTAAATTGCCCTTCACTTTTCTGCAGGCCTTAGTTTAACCAAACAATATATTTTTAAGTATTAAGATCCCGATTAGCAAACAATATTGTGATGGGTTTATCAACCTTGTTAAGCTTCTAATGTGTGATTATTCTAGTGTTGGGATTTGTTTGCCGAGGGAACAACAGAAAATAAGTAATTGGTTCCTAAAGAGACCGACGATTAGAAGTAGAGATTAATGTTAAATGAAAGTACTTATTTTTCGAGGTGTTCTCACGTGTGGAAATTAATGGTTTTAGCACATTTTGTTATGAAGCTTTACGGTGGTGAAAAGGGTTGTGTTGGAGTGTGGGAGTCTATCCTATGTGATTGGTGTTATATTAATGGAAGTTGTATTGCATTTGTAATCACAATTTGCGTACCCCGTTCCACAGGATTCAAGTTTCTTTTGATTACGTAATGTTTTGATCGTGGCTAAACTCAGTTATTTTGAGCGTCAGTGTCAACATTTTAGGTGGGGCAACTAAAAATGCAAGCATCTGGTTCCTGTGGCTGAATGTAGTATAAATGTAACGCGATGATCATAAAAAGTGACTGACTAGTTCAAAATGGGAATGTTGGGAAGAGAAGTGGAGGAAAGGTTGGTTTGCAATGCTGTGCTGTACATTTCGTTTCCCTGTTAAACTTTGATGACATTTGAACTATTTAAGACTATAGCTATCAGACTTGCCGAGAGTAAAAGTGTCATAGGGTTTGTTTTTGTATCAGTAACTTTTAACAGGAAGCGGGGGGTTGGTTCATCAAAGAAGGAAGTTGGCCCATGTGTAGAGGGTGTTTTTTTTTAATTGATCTTCAGTTCCTCTCTGATGTTAACCCCTCTTCCACCCCCATGCTCTTTCAAGAGCAGAATCCTGCACCACTAATTCCAAGTACAAACCCATCACTGATATTTTAACCTTTCTCAGTTCGCGGTAGAGGTTTGGCATCGACATTAAAAAAAAGTAAAGGATTTTAAAAATTGACAGGTTGCACATTGTTCCTTTGTATAATATCCTAGTCTCGGCTAGAGCAGTAATTAAAAGATTAGAAAGGCAATTTCGAACTTGAAACAGTGTTTTGGGGTGTGAGATTTTCTCATGAAAAATTAGGTTTAACCTTGTGCTGCTTTTTACTCATCATTGAACTGCTGAACACAGAGGAAGCTGTACATTAATTCACTCTGCTGTCTGCAGGGCTAAGGTTGTTCTCACACCGCCTTTTCCAAAATACAGCATTGAGTACCCAACGTAGCTTGTTTTTACACGATCGAGTGATGCATTAAAGACCAATTGTGCATCACCCACTGGTTTTGTATTTTCAGATGTTTCTGGATGAGTTTCGATGGAGATTGTGATGAATACTTTTCTTGGTAATTGTAAAAGTGAGACTGTAGCAAAAATCGCTCTCTAAAGTAATAAGTTTCATAAAAATAATCCGCACCTACACAGAAAGTTTATTTAAAAATGATGAACACAAGCTCAAACTTGTCACAGGTCTGCTGAAATCTGACTTGTCACACCTGGCTGGCAGTTTCATGTCCCTTCTGAATAATTTCTTACCCAGTATACAAGTAATATCTCAATTACTTCCCTTTTTAAATGGCAACTTATTTACTAAATGAGCAGGCCGCCAACTGATCTGGTATAAAACCCTCACTTCTAACATGTCCTCTTGCTCTTAAAATTTTGATTACTCAAGCGCGGGGATGGGTTTCCACGTTTGTCAGGCGCCCAGCTGACCAAAAAACAGATTAGATTGCTGCTTTCATTTGTTTCTGATCAGATCTGTATACATCTTTTTCTCATATACCAGTACGTATCACAAGCCCTGTGCAGACCAATGGTGCACGTATCTCTTAATATTTAACTTGATGATTTGAGGTTAGATTGTCTGGATTATTTTCATGAACGTTGCGTTGCAGAACTGTTGCATTTGGAATCGATGGGCTGGATTGGCTTTTCCGATAGGCTGGCTATGTGTGTGAAAAGGCTGGTGATCGGGGCTTCAGGAAGAATTGCAGCATTCCTGTTATGCAAAGCTTTGTGACCGAAGAATATAGGTGATTTCGCCCAACATAAACTTCAAAAGAAAGCAGTCTCTTCTGCCTGCAACTGTGTAAGAATGTCAGAATTGGCTCAGTTTGTGGCTATTTGCCAATGCAGGGAAAGCGCGGTGTACTTATGTTCCATTTCTGGTGTCCCTTGGCTTTTAGATGTCAGGAGATATTTATAAAAAACAAACTTTGTGTTTTCAAATGGATTAATTTGAAGCTCTTAACCATCTGTTTTCATACTCAACACATCAGTTTAATCTTCAGTCAATAGCTCGTACTTGTAGGTTACCACTTAGTGCACAGGTTTGTGTACCCCAGCACTGGAGTGTTGAAGAGTCTTAGCATAGCTTAAAAACATTTACCTGAAAACTCTTGATTGAATTTCAACCATCTCATTTATCATATCAAACTGTTGCTTGTAAAACACAAAGCTCCAAGAAAGGAATTTTCATTCCATTAATGATTCAACTCCACGAAGCATTCTCTTCTAAGTATGAACACAAGAACTCCTCAATATCTACAGCAAATAATAGTGTGTTGTATCAGAAGATTGTAGTTGTACTGACGTCATAAGAACAGAAACGGCCATAAATAATAATAATAATCCTTGGGTTTGATATAGCGCCTTATCAAGTTTTCGAGAGGTCTCAAAGCGCTTCACAGAATATACTCCAAAGTGAATTAACTGTATATTTTATGGTTGAGACGCAGCAACCAATTGCACACAGCAGTGTCCCACAAACAGTTGTAGATTGAGTGACCAATTTATTACTTTTTGTTTTAAGGGATTATTACCCCAGGAAAAGCGATCCGCCAATCGCCTAACAACCGGGTTCCTGCTTACTGCTAGGTGAGCAGGAGCATGTCGAGTAAGGAAATTTGTCCAACGTGTCGCCTTGTCCAGGAATCAACCCCAGGTCCTCTCGCTTGCGAGGCGAGTGCTCTAACCACTACGCTTTGACCCTTTGCTACGATGTCTTGCATTTTGTGTCTGACTTGTTCCTGGAGCCTAACAACCATAATTATTCACTGTGAACTCCACCTAACCTGGTTATTTTCTCTGAAGTAAAGCCAGGAAGCCCTGAAGTATAACTAATGTCCTTTACAGATGTGTATTTTGCCATAACCAGTTTTATGGTATTTATCAGTTCTTGTTCTTTCTTTCTTCAAGTCCTTGGCTGTTCCTCTTTCGAATGCTTGCTTTTTGTCCCATGCTTTCCTTTCATTTCTTTCCCTTTTATGACCCTTCCTTTCCAACTAACCAGATATGTGACCTTTGGGCCTGTGTCGGATACTCTGTGATAAGTCTCGCCCTTTATGAAGCATTGAGCCTTTTCATATCATTTATGGAAATTGATTTAAACAATAGCTGACGATAGATTCTCTGTACACGTCAACTTCACTGCACCTTCAGGTATAAATGCCTGCATTTACAAAGTCTTGCCTCTGTTTTGAGGGAGGGGATGTGAAAGCTGATGAGACACCTACACACACGCTTCCTCTCGTTCCTCAGAGCAGTATGGTTCACTGTGCTGTGAATGAGTCTACAAACATTTCGCCAGTACTCTCAGCTGAAGGAATGTCATGGTTTGAAAATATTTGTGAACAGCATCTTACTGGTATGAAGTGTGCAGCATTTTTTACCATCTTTGTGATACTTCTATCTTCAAAGAGATGACCGCAGAGGAGTCTGTTCCCAAGCGACTTGGGTTAACATGTGAAAAACAACCAATCTCTGAAATTTCAGATCTTGCGTTAGAATAGAATTGCTACTGGTTGGTACCAATGCACTATTCCTGAGCATCTGTTATAGGTATTAACCTTAAAATGATACTTTAACGCACTATTTGGAACTAAATAGACGTGGACTGGACTGAGTTTTCCACACTCTTGCTGATCCATGGTTTGAATTAAAAGGCAGATGAAAGTTGGAACCTGTTTAAGTATCGTTAACTCTGGATCAATGTACAGTTTCAAGCCCCGTATTTTGTTCTTAATTACCTGAGTGTTGCTGCTCATTGTTTGGTATTATGTGGGCAGTGGATTGGATAACAAACGGTTGTCTTTTCCCCCACCTCAGAATAGCATCTCTTTCGAGCATCATGGCATGTAGCTGTTCCACAAGCTTTTGAAGGCAGGACTGGGTGAGTCTCTCAATCTCATCTCACGACAATAAGGTGGATTCAGGGAAGGCAAACGGGCTTACCCTGTGCTGCGTAGAGGCCAAGCATCAAATCAGTACAATAAAGTGGAATCCAATAACCTACCAATCCTTCTTCATTTTACACACAAGTTCTTTCTTTCTTTCCCGAATGTCGTGTGTTTTTTTTCTTTTAGATAAATATGTGATATCTCAGCCTTCATTCTGGCATATATTCGTGTAGGACGGACACACTTACTTTGCTCACACTTAACGGCTCAGCTCTATACTGTGCTACATCTGGTCACTATAATATGAGCTCATTATATGAAAATAGGAATGGCTCTACATGTATTTCTCCCATCTCTCCCTTTACATTGAAACTCTTCCAGATTGCTTCTGAAAGATTCTTGTTCCAAGACTCTTTTCTAAATGAGCTCTGCACCAAGTGGATATTGGTGATAAGCATACAGCCCTTGCTATCCTACCCGAAATATACCCACCGAGAATGTCAAATTAGATTAATATGTGAAGTAAGTAGCTCAGCATAGTCAACATTAAAGGCTCACATCTATGTGTAAAATGGGATGTTTTGACCGTGTCTCCCATTTTGGGACTTGCCTTTCTCTCTCTCTCTCTCTACTTTTATTCAGCAAGGTAAGTAACTAACTGACTTGCTGCTTTGTTATTTCTGAATCAATCCCAAGAGTAAGCGGGAGTTCTTTTTTGCATGCATCCCAACCTAGCTCAGCATGCTTTGGAATATATCTGAACATCCCCTTCCTTCCCAGCTCTGTGACTCTGTGAATGCAGCATCAAACAGCATCACTGGAAAAACATCAACTGACAAGCACATCTATATGAATTGACAGTCGTGGGCTGTGGCACTGATGTGTGTATTTGTACAGATTACTGCAAATAAAAGCCGAGAGTTGGGGAAGAGTGTGTGTGTGTGTGTGGCTGTGTTTTCCTTCCCTATGTTTTTTTTAATAAAAAAAGTCTGTTCAAAGTACGGGGCATGGTTCAATGTTCCATACTAAATTCTGGACAGATTTTTTCCCCCCTCAATCACTTATGCGTTACGGCTACTAACTCTGCTTGTATTCTTTCAAATCCAAGTTTAGATCTTGCCTGGTGTTTAATTTCTTGGTGCCTTGTTTTTGCAAATTCTGTTCTCTGAAGTAGTGTGGAGTGATACATGATCTCGTGTCTCCCACCCCTCCCGCTTCTGGTTTTCTATTCATTCTCCTTGTGAAAACATCGATGCATGCTGCTCCCTTGGCTTTGATAATCCTCCTATTTGGTTCAACGCTTCCTCTGTCCGGAGGGTGTTGTACAGAATTGAAGCTATGTTTAGACCGAGAATCCATGAAAACTATTTGGATGGGTTTGTTTCTGTGGGTTGATAGATCTTTCGAGGATCTGTGGTGATACTTTTAAGGCCATCCAGCAAACCAGTGGGGGAAAAAGGGAGGTGGCAATTGTTTGAGCCGTGTTGGTGTCAGCACCTCCGACTGAGACGTTGGACTCAGATGACTTATTCAGGGGCCGCCCTGTAGCTAATTGTGTGAGGGCATGTAGACCTGATTGCGTGAAACAGTAGACCTGAAGCCAACATCAGTCTTGAGTCTGGGGTGAAATGGTGAGATGAGGCATCTTAACCTTGCTGCTCTGCTCTGTAAGGTTTCAGTGGTATGATTTTGGGAGCTTAGTTTCTCATTTTATTATTAATGTTGTGATCATAGCATTAGATGCCTAAAGTTGCCATTTGGAAAAAGGAAACGTATCACAGCGTTTATAGTCTGCAATGTATTTTTTGCATTGTGCATAAAAGAATATTTTCGTTGTCTCTAAGGCTGTTACTTTAATCACAAAACCAGATCTCTGGGGAGCAAATGGTGCTTCAAAAAAAATCTTACCTTTAATTTGTCAATTTTCAGGAGCGAATTTGTTTTGCTTTTTCACCTTTGGGGAATGTAAAGTTTTTTTTAATACTGTGATTATTTTTTAATTTTGTATTCACTTTAAAGTTAAAAACTTATTTAATTGTTTTTGTATGATGTTCCAAGTATCTCCAGGTGAAATCTCAAGGAGGGATTGATTTTAATTTGTTCTGTCAGTTGAATGTTTTTAAGTTCTCTTACCCTGTAAAATGTTCTCAGTCACTTCAGGACTGACCTCAGCCAATTTCAAGCTCTGTCCTGTCATCACCTCTGTAAGTGTTTATCATATGTAACAGTTCCAATTTCAGTAGAATTAAAACTGTCTTTTTGAATAGGTGTCTACTTTAAGGGGATTTAAAGATTGTGTATTGAAGGTACTCTTTTCAAAATGTCATTTGAATATTTGTTGACAAGATCTGAAATATTTAAGCAACTGGTTTGTTTGGCCTTGAAGGTGTCCACTTTTGTACAGGTTTTTGGGTGTCCGTCTTTGTATTTGCAGTGTAGTATTCAACACCAATTTAAGTAATGACCGTTCATTAAAATTGCACCGGATTTCGTGGTACCTGGCAATGTTTTGCAAGGGACTAACTTGGGCGTTTATGCTCTTGTTTGCTTCTTTGGACAGATCCCAGCTCGTATGACTTCCAGCGGCCTCCATTCCACTGTCCCTCGATGAAAACAACTCGCCACGGAGGGCAGACAGTGCATGGCTGACGTTCCATTCTAACAGCTTTTCGACCCGTGAACCCCACAAAAGAGCAAATCAACAAAATGAAGCTCTCGATGCCTTTTATTAAAATGCTGAAGGAAAAAAAAAACAAAAAAAATAAAATAAAACCGAACACCTTTGCAACAAGGTCTCTTTCGCCTAACTGCGTTATAGAATACAAGAATAAAAACAAGTACCCACTGCGCTGCTTCAGTAGCAGGAGGGTCTAAAGACGGTTTCCAGCATTGACCGGAAATAGGATAGATAATCGCCATCCCTTCTCCTTCCACGATCGGCATTATGTAGCCTTTAATTACTCTACTGTACAACTGTAGACCTTTACTTGGTTTAAATATTTTGTATCGCCCTGCTAAAAATTGAAAGCAGCATTTCTGTAGATAAGTAGAAAGTTGTCCTGCTTTTATTATGTCTGTGATGCGCAGTAGGTTTGAGAATCTGACCCGGAGATTTGATGGACTTGAATAATCCTGTACCACATAGGGGTTAGCAGTGAGTGTGAATTTAAAAGCAAGTGATTTTATTTAAAACTTTCCTGTCTTTTTGTATGAAACTTTTTTTTTCCTTAATAATAATTAATTTTTAAAAAAAAACAATGTTCCTTTTTTTTGGTAGCACACTGTAACGATTACATTTTTTTTGATTTAGAATCTAGTTTGCACACTTCCACCACAATTTGCTTTTTAATTCCCCCCCCCCCAACAAAAAATTGTTTAGTTCAGAAAAGCTGGAGCGATCGATCATTGGTGGCAAAGTGGCCATTTTATATCTTCCCGTGGAGAGGTTGGGTAGAGAGGCTATTGCCCTGTGCAACAGCAGCAACAACACGGAACAAAATGGCAGAGCCATAGCGTACACAAGGAAAAACAATAGAGAGAAAAATGTGACCTTAAAAATCAAAATGTGGCAGAATAAAGTTAAAGGTAAGTTGTGTTTTGGTGACGATTCTTTATAAACTTGGAATGTCAGTTTGATTAGTGCTGGATATAAACTTAGCTGGGGGTTGGCCGGGGTGGGGGGATTCCTGCTTCAGGAGTATACTGCGTCTCCATTAATCACTTAGCTACAGAAGAGCCTTTTGTTTGGGAGAGAAACAAATTGCAACTGTGAAAGACATATACAGTAGAAATGTGAATACTGCTGTTAGCTTCTAGAGTCCGACTGAATTACATTCCAGTACGCATGCTTCAAAACAATTTTTTTTCTTTTTTTTTAATAAATATACAAAAAAATGTTTACATATTAACAGCTAGTCCGGCTTGAGGGCTTTTAAAAAGACTTGGCGTCTTTGTGTTCAAAATTGTGGGTGATGGCAGATTAGAATAGTTTAACTGCAATCCAGTCTAAAGTGGAATGCTATTGTGATTGCTATAAAATTTACCTTTCAATCAACACAGTTGGAGGGGTGGATAGGTGGGGGGGGGGGGGAGAAGAACTCTGGCCTAACTTGTAGATGGGTTGATTTCGGCTGACAATCCATTTCCCTTTTTTATGGCGAACACATTTCCTTAGAATTGTCCACCACATGTTTAAGGCAACCGACTAAAAGGATGAACTTTCTGACTTCATGTCGGAAACGCCTTACATTGACGGATGTTAAAACAGGAGCACAACTCGTATTGGTGCTAAGCAGTAAAGGGTCCTCTGGTCATTTCAGCAATTCTGCTTTTAATTTTTTTTTGTAGATGTAATCCCTGAAAATTAATCCCTGTAAAGGCAGCATCTCTCTCCTCCCTTCCACCAATTCATCCAACCGATGGCGCCTCCAAAATGGTGGACTCTTTCCTTTTATTTTTCGTGCAGATGAACCAATGTGACTTTGGGCGGCTGATTTTTCTCCTCACTGTAGAATGTCTGTGTATATCCTGTGTATTGGTAAGAATACTTTACCTATTTGTATTGCAGGTGTATTTGTGTACTTAAAAATGTAAATAAATTCATAATGACTTGTATTTGGCTGTCTGGCTGTCTCGTTGCTCTAACATTTATCATCTATTTTTCTCAAAACTAATGCAAAATTTATGGTCTGTGGAGTTTTTTTTAATTAACTTTTGATTCATTGAGTAAGATCAATCTCTAATCTCAACTTGAATTTGTTCCATGTTTGCATCTTTCTGAAATCAGCTGCAGCAGTGCACGTAATGATGGATTTGTCCTGAGTGATTGATAAAGTTTTGAACTAATCTAGCAGACTGTGGGACAAACGCAATAACTAATCTATAAAGTCAAAAATTGCCAGGCATTGCTTATGAACATTGAGGCACAAGTAATGTTTCCTGAGATCACCATCACAGGAGAATCTCGTGTTCCTCAAAAAGCCTGGCTGATGAATAAAACTATTTTGTAAACCCTTAGTTTAGCTGGCACTGATTGATGCTATTCTTAATGTAAAATCAATTGCTTCCTTTTGTAACAGCTCATGCATTTTACTTTGTGGCATTGTGTCCTGGAGTCAGTGCATTGATCCTGTTGCATGCCTGCATCCTACATTAACAAGTTTAACAGCCCAAACAAAAGCATAACTTGAAAGCTGTTAGGCAAACTCAAATGTGGCCTGAGGGACAAACCTTCCTTCCAAGAAGTATTCATTGAATAAACTAGACTGTTACATTTCTGCATTGACTGAATAGCTGATCTCAGCTTCTCAATGGATGTTGTTCATTTTAGCTCGGAAAGAGAGAATGTTAGCAACGAACAGTGGTTCGATGTCACTAAAGGCTCCTCCCTGCATGATAATAAGTTTTAAATTTATTCTGCATTGTGAGGGCGGTTGAACTGGCAATAAAATTACTCACCACCATATCACACATAGAGTGGGAAATGGGACAGGCCATGAATTGAGCAGAAATGTGCAGCCGTAAGCTTTTGAGCCAACCTACATATTAAGCGATGGTTTCAGTGGAGTTATGGGCTTTCAATTTGAAATCGAATGCAACATGCAACGTGCATCCATCACTTGACTTTTAATTACTTCACCGCTACAAGTATGAGAAACATTGCAACCAGAGGAAAGTGGATGATTCCTTCAATGAATGAAATGCCTAAAACAAGGGCCTTTAAGACTGTATTTCTCTATCATTCTTTTCACTGGCCCTCCCTAAGCTCCAGCTCATTTAATGCTTTGCAGGCACTCCTGCACCAGGCTGTGTACACCAGTAACCCTCACCTTCTCCAGCCTTGTCCTTCCAAACCTACTTGAGACCAAGTATTAGATTCCTCCTGATATCTGCCAAATGTACGCCCACATATAATGCGGGAATGAGCTGATTATCCACCAAAACCTGTTTTAACCTTGTCAGCTCTAATGCAAAGTGGAGCTGTGTGTTTTTGCTGCTTCATGTCCTGTACATACTACACATTTATTGGTGATTTGTAATCAAATGTACAGTATTGCTGTAACATTGCACAACATTGCTTTAAAATCCGGTCAAAACATGAATTTGAAGAGCAAGCAGTTTGTGACTTTCTGTTTGCTGCAGTGATGTCTCTAATCTACAATCTAACAAGATCAGCTAGGGAAGAGGTGGTTTATGTGGCAGTTGTTTGTACCAACTATGCTGTCATGTGAAATCAATAATGCTTTTAAGTCGATTCACTTTACAGTACATCCTGTGAAGTGCTTTGAGATGTCTCGAAGATGTGAAAAAGTGCTATATCAAATGTAAGGATTATTATTATAAAAATAAGCTCAAGAGTGTGCTCCACACATGAAGTTCATGTATTCCACAAATTACCTAAGGGAGAATTGGCACTGCTGGGAAAAATAACTACAAATGATGTCCTGGGGAGGTTTACAAAGATAGAATGGAAAGGGGTCATTCAGCCTAACCAGTCCATGCTGGTGTTTATACTCCACGCAAGTATCTACCCACTCCTTATTCACTCCATACCTTTCTATTCCCTTCTCTTGTGTGTGAATGTCTAACTTCCTCTTGGAACGCGTTTCCACTATCTGATTTAACTACTGTTTCAGGGAGGAAGTTCCACAATCTCACAATCTCTTCCTCCTAAATTCTCATTTAGATTACCAGTCTTTTGCTTTGCACGGAAGGGCTTTTAGTTCGAATTTATTTTTAATGTAACAAGGAATGTAATTTAATGATAGGATTTGGTAATTGTCTGGTTAAAGTAGATTGCCACAGCTACTCCTGTTACCAGCTGGGAAGCACATACACAATACAGGCCTCCTTTGCAATAGCGCATCTTGATTGATTTGAGCATTATTATTTTCTGACAGATTTTGCTGGGACTTTTACATTTTAGAATGATACTGTAGTGTAGAAGAAGTCCGCAGGATTCAGAAGAAAACAAAGGGAGGCTTCTCGACAAAAAATACTTGCTATTAATAAGATTCTGTACATTCTAAGGAATGCTTTTGTCGGTTCTGAGAACCAACAACAACAACTTGGATTTATATAGCGTCCTGCACGCTCTCTCCAACCGATCATGCAGTCCTTCGATTAGTTACTTAGATATAAAATTGCTCCTAAAAATCTCCTAAAATGATTACAAATGAGATGTGTTTTTATTGAATTCCACAATGCCATGAAACCAGCTGTGTTATTAGGGTTGGGACTTGGTTCTGCATTCACACTGGCACACATTTGATTCAGACTCAGCAATAAATAATAAAGATTCTTTATTTCAACAACAGTGGAAATAAAACATGTCCGGGTAGTGTGGTCTACACAAGAATTGCTGATAAGATCTACATTGCACATTCCAAACACTCTGTGCCAGTGCATTTTCACAGTTGCAGTTTGTGTAAATTGAGGCAAGTTGTGTGATTAAATTAGAGTCTTTAAAACAGTTTACTGACTGATACGAAGTGGGATATTTTCACTCTGCAAAAGGAAAAGTCCAGTTAAAACATTACAGATGTCCAGCAACTACATGTTAAAAAATTGTGAAAACATATTAGTGGGAAACTCTTTAGTGTCTCTCAAAAACCTCTAATCTTTTGTTTAGCTTTCTGTAGTTTATTATTGAACAAGTAATTATTTCCTAGCTAATCTGTCTTCTTCCAATATTTTGGCACACTAAGATTCTGATCTGAGAAATTACCAACAATTACTAACTTAAAGTTAATGATCAAATGTCATACCTTCATTGGAGTCCATCTTAAATACATACACAGGGAAATTGCAAAAAGCTTTTTGTTGCAAGATCTTGATCAATTTTATTCTCAAATTAATTGGTGACAAAATAATCCTTGCATTTGATACAGCGACTTATTACATCTCAAAGCATTTCAGAATCTGCAGGCAAAGTGACCTAATTTTTCTGAGAAACAGAGCAGTCACTTTATGCACAGCCGGGATGTAATGGCCGATTGTTTTAAACAGGGTTGTTGGTCTGGACAATGTGAGAAGTTCCCTTCTCTTTTAAATAGTAGCACAATGACTTCAACATCGATCTGAACTGGGGGTCAGGACCTTATTTTAACATCTCGTCCAGAGGACACCACCTCCCAACAATGAAGTGTTCCCCAGCATTACAGGAGTATCATTACTGAGCATTACTCTGAGCTCAAAAGTCCCCCTGTGAGGTTTGAACCCACAACCTTTGATGCAATGTGTTTACAAGGGCCTGCGGCCAGGGTGGCACTTTAATGCACCAAATCAAGTCTCTTTGTTACAGATAGATTTTGACAACATTAAACTCAAGTTTGTGGCCAGCAGGCTTATTCTGCAACAGTATTTCTTGTGCGTGCATCTGCTGTGCAAGTGTCTATGTTTGCATGCGAAGTAAAAAGGGAAAACGTTTGTAATAGAATGCTAGATTTTGTTCATAGGCTTCTTAGAAAAACAGTAGCACTGCAAACAATGTCTCTTTCTGACTTCAAATCTGTCAGTCGCAGTACAGAATCAAGATACTGGGAAAGGAGCTGATTCAGGTTTCCAGCAACTTCCTTTCTACCTCGTATTCAGGTAAAGCTTAACATTGCGATTTGTTACTGAGGGATCCATGTTGATGCTGTGGTGTAAATTACACAGAGAGAACCAGCTCTCTTCCGCTTGATCTCACGTACACTACTTGATCCTTCAGAGATGGGAGGGATTGACCGTACCAAGGGTCAAATCCCAGGCTCTTGGAATAAAGAAAGGTTGGAAAGGCAGCAAACGAGTAGTAGCGGAGCATTGGACACCTTATAGGCAAGTGAGAGGAGGGTGAGCTTTAATGGAACCAGCACATGTCAAAGTGATCAGAGCTGATAAATGAGTGAATCTTACCCAAATGGTAAATTATTGATGATGATTCATGTGCGAGCTATTATGATGGATGGCCTTTTACAACATTCAAATAATGTTTTATTTTTAATTCTGCATCCATCAGCATCATTTATCATTCCCTTATGGTGACGCACGTGAAAATATCACTTGCTTTCTCTGTAGTATGAGCAATACTCGCACCTCAGCATTGCTAGTGCTTTTCTTTATACTTTATGCCACTCTCAAGCTTTCTTCCCCTCACAAATCTCACTGGTCACATTCAGTGCTACTTGGAACTCATATCCAATTTTAACATATCCACCAAGATATGTTGGTATTTATTATTTATTTAGTAATTCTGTTCGTCTAACAGTGGGTAGAAACCCGGTTGTTGATGAATTAGCGGATCACTTTTCCGGGGCTAATAACCTCTTCAAAAAAAAAAGATTTGGTGGATCGATCCGCGACTGCTGTGCATGGTTGGCTGCAGCATTTCATCCACAAAATACAGTTAATCCACTTTTAAAATATATTCCGTGAAGCGCTTTTGAGACGTCTCAACGACGTGATAAGGCGCTATATCAAATATAAAGTTTATTACTATTACTAGGATCAGGATGCATCCCTCCAGGGACAAGTGAACCCAGGTCCTCTCACAAGCGAGGTGACCTGGGTTTGATTCTCGGGCGAAATTATGTAACTCATGTTCAGGAAGAACTGCTGTTATGTCGAGCCTGGAAAGAACAGATTTCCTTCCAATTCCATCATTTTACGAGAGCTGCTGTTTGTTACCTGAGTGGCTTAGAATAGTGCGTCCTTCCTTCATCATGGCCACATCTGGAGAGCAGAGGTACATCTCCCCCGGGTTCCATGGCAATCGGGTTGGGTGGACCACATATAATTGCCTAGCAGTCAGTGGGTGTGAGGTGCAATTGTGTTCCCTAGTGGTCCAGCGGGAATTGATCCACGTTCCCTGATAGTGTTGCGTGTTGACTGTGGGGTTGAAATTAATGCATCAATATCTCTCAGTGAATAAGAGGGATATACTATGGTTATGGTGCTTATGATTTTGTGTGCAAACTTGATACTTGTATTCTCTGGCAGTGTAATAGTGGGAGAAGTATCTATGGCCCTCAGTCTAGTAGGAATAGCTCTGCATTATCTGTTGGCCTAGTGGTTTAGGGATGCACCTTATGCTCCCTGGTGATCAGGAATGCAGCTGGAATGATAAATGATAATGTTTGCATTCGATATAGGAAACATAAAACATTGGAACGTCTCTGAAAGTTCTTTCCAGTAATTACTGTTCAGACTGTCCATGTTCTTTGGTGATGTACGGAAGCACCATAGAGATAGATAGTGGACATCAATGGTGAGCTAACTGAAAGAATGTTAAAAGCCTATCTGAGGTTCTAATTAATAATATCTCAGTGTTTTGAGGGGATCCATTCTCCCTTGTGGAAAACCAGATTGTCCAGATGGAAGGGATGTAATCATTCTTCCCGATTGTCTGAAGGGTCTCCCTGCTCGTGTTTTAGATTCGAAGCAACTTTCTGCTCCCCACCCCAGGTTCCAAATTAATTTAAATTAATCCAAATACTCCCATAATTAAATAGGCAGTAGCAGAGTGGTTGCTTCATGACTCATTCATTTAAGATTCTATTCGGACTAACCTACTTTTAATCCGAGCTGCCTTTTGGTGCTCGTTCGAATGGTGGCATGTAAGTTTACATCCAGTTAACCTAGTTAATCTTCCAAGTTAGGCCTTCCTTTCCTTCAGGTTTTGTGGAACTCTTAATAAGATAACTAAACTAGAAGCAAAACTGTTGCTCACTCCGTCAGCTATGTAATACAGTAATAAAACAGCCCTGACAAAGGTTACAGCAATATTTTTAAAAGTTTCAGAGTAACATCCCCTTTGTGATGACTCAATTTTGTAAAAAAAAATTATTTGTTCATTGTGACTGATTGGTCTTCTAAACACAAAAGAATATGTGTGGTTGCTGATGGATAAGATCAATGGTACTAGATACTATTAATAGGTGCCAAACGTTCAATGATTACCACTAAAGGCCAAGAGCATATGCTGCGTGTGGAAAATATGAGTCTGTCTGCCCTGGATGTCCAACAGTGAAAGCTGGGCAATGTTTATGGCTAAGTGGCTGAGAGGCAAATAATTGATTTTCTCAATGCATAACTCAAGTCCCAAGATCACAGATCCTAAAAACCTGTGCACAAGAGACTTGCATGCTGTATTTTAAGGTAAATGCATTGTATCCAACGTATTGCAGTATAGTTCATTTTATCCTGTACATGGAAAACGTAGAGTGTCAAACACAGAATAAGGCCAGTCCACGTTGGGATCTCTGCATCAGTGAAGGGTTATGGAAGAGAAGATCTGGATAAGGCAATAAGATTACAGTAGATGAAGACAGGTGAAGATAAGTCAAAAACTCCTAAAGACTTTCCTTAAAACAGTAAACACTAGAACAAGGTTTATATATTTTTATACAAATCTACCATGTATATGTAACTACAAAAAGTACTCAAAGCACTTAAAACTTTAAAAACAGACACACGTCAGCAAGAATTCCAGTATAAATCCATACAGACAGATAACACAGTGAAATCTTGATAAAAATTGGATGCAACAGGAGTGAGGCTGCGATCTAAAGCAATCTGTGACCTTGAGTATAATAGTGCTAAAGATCAGTGTTTTTAGTACTGCTTCTGAAGTACTCATTTATAATTGAGCAAGCATACTTAACATCTGAACAAGATGTCATTCCTGTTCTACACACACAGTAAATTCACAAGTTCCACCTCTTTCCTATCAATATGAGGAGTATTCATGGTTTCTGTGGTTTTATTGGTTTGATTACCTGAGCCAAATAGTGTCCACGGTCAATCAGAATCATTTTGATAAAATTGTAACATGGACATTTAAATAGTCACTTAAGACACTGTAGAATTATGTTGTAGGTCTTAGCAGTTTGGGACCACATTTTAAGAGTGGACTCATACTGTGTAAAACCAACCACCCACCTGCCCTGTAATTTTATTGTATTCATAGTTGTTCTTTTTGGCTCTCGTTCCAATTAAGATTCTGAATTGCTGGCTCACGGGTAATATGCCGCAGTCATTCTTAAACTAATATATCAGGAATACATTTACAGGGCAAGTTACCTCAGAAACTGGATCCTCCTTAAATTTGTGAGCTGGAACTTAGCAAAAAAAAAATCACTGCTGGAACGTGACACAGTTAAGTTCTATACAGCAGATACAAGAATACATATAGATGTACTTTAGACACACAAACACAGATTTTTAAGTTTGGTTAGTTAACTCGTTACAACGAAAGTTAGAAAAAAAATCTGTGCTAACAGCAATTACTCACACACAATAAAATCTTGCATTATAAAAACACACTAAATATTATGATCCCCACCACCAGTATTTAGATTGTTTACTATTAATTTTTGGTGAATGGGATTTTTCAGTGTTTCTTCAACCCTTTGAGGACAGACAGCATTCTTCTATTCTGCAAATTTGCAGTTTTGTTACAACCTATTCGTATCTATGAAATAGTTAAAGACTAAATGGTTTTCCTATTTGATAAGCAAATTACTATGTTGATTGTGGTCTGATGCCAAGGCATTTATGCCATCTGGGGGACCATACATTTAACTTGTTAAATAAATACCACGTGTATTAGATAACAGTCCATAATACTGCAATATACATTTGTTCAGTGAAAACTACCTTTATAATTCCTTGAATAGCAATATCTCTCCTTCAGCATATTTTCCTTCCTTGAAAGCCAAGGTTCAAAGGAAAAAAGGGGAAAACCATCATTCTCCACCCTGGAGACAGAGACAACCTCCTCTCTGTGCCAAAGCCTGCTGCTTGGGAAGTCTTGGATGTGAAGAGGTTGATATCGATCCTGACATCCAACATCAGACCTCTAGAACTTCAAGTGGGTGGAATGTTGCATGGTGCCCCAAAGCCAAATTTTCGTTAAAAGATTGGGATTTTGGGTGGCAGCTGCTGGAAGGAGTTTAATTTGTCTGCTTATCTGGGATTCAGTGGGTACTCTGGTTGATGAGTGCTAAACAACTAGTGCTAAAGAAGCTTGTATTTAAGCATGTTCAAATCCAGCTTTACCCAAATGCACACTATGGGATTCCTTGTGCCTAAACATCTACCAATCCATCAAATATTTGCCTTCTCTTCTCTTGGCATAAGGAAGTGGGGTATGTTTGCCTCTAGGAGAAAGAAATTGCAAATTGCACACTCCGCACTCCAAAACAGGCAAAAACAAACTGTTAATCAGTACTTGAACTGAAGAAACTGGAATTGAAATGCGGAAGCATTCATCTTATAACTTGCACACGCCCAACTAAAATAGCCAGATATTACAAAAAACATAATTATAGTGTGATATGTGGAATGTTGCAGGCTGAATCCTTAAGTCGCGATAGGAGTTGAACAGATTAACAGTCCATAAGTCAGAGTGAATATTACCGAATCGTCCAGTAAAATTGTACAGGGTTTGCAATTCATCAAATAGGATTCTGTAGGATTTTGTTGTTCAATTCTGGCAGAAATGGTAAAATACTCAAAAACCTCTAAAATGATCTGTGGTTACAGACCAAACACATTTACCTAACTACTGGGGGAGAGCAATGTCAAGAATTAAGAATGCTTTTTTGGTAAGCTCATTATGGATAATGATCCATGACAGGAAATTGCTGAATTCAGTTAACACAATATTTGCATAAGTTCACACCAAAAAGATTGTTATGAATGCAGAGAATGAAGCAGTGCAACAATAGAATGAGCTGATGCACTTCCTGGGATGCCCTACAGCTATTTTTCTATCTCAACCTCACATACGAAATGTGGTCCAGAAATGCTCTCGAAGTCCTCAGAACGCTTAAGTGACACTTTCTTTTATATGTTGACTTGCCTAGAGACAGCAGTTCAGAACTGTTCAGAATCAAATCTACACGTTTTGTTCACTTAAAAAACAAACATTCTCTAAAAAAATTCCCTGCAGATGAAGCAAGAATTCACTTTGAACAAATAAAATATATCAGTGGGTGATGGTTTCCAGTACCACCGCGACAGGTCAAGCACCACTACTGGTTGAAACACTCTGGTGGTGCTTGATTGGAACATATTGATTAGACGTTGTTCAGTGAGACCTATTATCGTTTTACAAAACAAAGCTCAAAAATGCAAATATTTTTAAATTCAACACATTGTTTTCTTTGGCTTACATCTTCAACACATACTATTGATATTTTAGTCATCATCATTTTAGAGCCAATGCAGGAAATCCTTAGGACATTGTGGAGATGGAGAGGAAAGTTTTGAGATGGCACACTCCATTTTTTCCATTTATAGCTGTTTTCCGTTGACCCCCTCCCTCCCTAGACCCAATTTCTAGAAGTTGTAAAAAGGACAATTGAGAATACTGAGGTGTTAAACATGCTTTAAAGGGTTCAACTTCTCATTTCTTTTCCCCATTCATTTATGATATCAATGGCCTTCATGGTTTCAAGGCTGTGTTGATTTTTACCAAATTGGGTAAAATACAGCAGGGCTATTCACTTCGGGAAGGCATCTCAAAGTGCTTCACAAGATTTTACTGTGTGGTGGAGTGACGATTTATTTTGTAGGCAAATGTAATGTAAAAGCTCCCTTTACTCCTCCAAGCATTTGCCTCAATTCTGACTTTACCACTTTGCAAATGTCACAAATTAAACTCATTACAAAGAATAGGTTGTTATGGAATTGGTTTGCACAAACTCAATGCAGGGCCTAATCAGCCAGGGGAAGATATAATAGCCCGATTCAAACAGGACTGTAGCGGGAAGATCTGCCCTAGACCCTACAATGACCATTGTTTCAATGTTATAAAGAGAAAATCATGATTCTTCAGTGGGTGTCATACCTATAAAATGGTTACAATTTACGGTAATGTACATCATCACCTACAAGATTGGCAATTGAAAGCCAAAATAATTGTGATTGCATTTTATAGTTTAATGCCATGGTACTAGATTAGAAATTAAAAAAACAAGCCAGGAAAAAAGGGAATAATTTTTATTGTTTATAAAATAACAAAAGTGAATAGATAATTGCCTTAAGAGATGTACAGTCACATTCCCCATCAATCCCCACTCCTGTAGGATGGAGACTGCATAGATCCTGTGAAGCAGCAGTTAGAAAATTAACAAATATTTTTTAAAAATACTGTGACCAATTACTGCACCACTGGTGAACTGGTTGAGATCAATTCACTCAACCAAGGATCTTTCTGGCTTAGGATATCAAGCAATTCATTTATCTACTCAGCTATGGGGAATTCCAAGCGGAAGGGATTGGGAGGCAACACAAGTATACTAATAGCTTACGAACAACCATTGACAGCTATACTGTTGGTTTAGCTTTTGTTCTCCAACACTAAGCATCGCAGGTTTGAACATGTAGGGCCAGAACAGTGGTACAAGCACATATCTGCAAAACTCCATTCACACTTCTACATTTCTGATCAGCAACCCGTTGCTTTGGGGAAAGCACTATGCAGCCAAACCCCTTGAAGAACATTGTCTGCCCTATTTTAAAAAAAATGGCAAAATAAAATTAGGAGGGGAGGAAATAAGATAGCATCATCAGAGAGAAATTTAAAGAATACTGCTATCTGACTAATACAGTTGAAGATTCCTTCAACTACCCACTGTTAGTTATTTTTCAACAGTATCTCAATCCTATGTTAACAATTAAATAAACTGAACCCATTGTTGCATATGCACATTTCAATTGTCAAGTGGAAAAAAATGTGAACAGTCACCTAAGTCAGCCATATGAGAATTAGGAATATTTTAAAATGTCACTGGATATAAAACAATTAAAATCCATAGAGCAAAGCAACTATATGGTTGGATAATGTGTGTGTTTTACAAAATATTTCATGCTAGTTTAAAATCTGATCTCCAGAATTCAACCTATACAGATTCAATATCTTTTACTATTCGATTTTTGAAGCTCTTGTCCAAAAAAAAATTCAGAAGTCCTTCATGAATATTAAATAAAAACAGTGTCAGTATTCATAGAAAATAATTTAGGAATGAAGAATTTCTTTGGCATTGCACACACCGTTTCAGCAACATGGGATTTCAATCCACAAAACATGTAGGTGCAAAACCAACAAAATGCTGCCCTTTAGAACCCACTGATCCTGATAAACATCCTTCATATTCTACATAAAACTTTTGGTTCTTTCCAATTCATTCTCTATTCAAATCTAAAGATGTTCCAATCACAGAATTAGATGTTCATGCATAATTCTGCATAGCCAAAGTGTAGTTAAGATGTACAAACAATGATGTGGAGGATTGAACTGTGAATTGAAATGCAAAAATTGCAAAATGTGGGACTAAAAAAAAGTAATTATGGTGGCTCTAAATTTAATTATCTAACACTGTTAAGCTTCGACTTGCTTTAACCGATAGTCCAACGTGCTGAAGCATCCTTCAGTGCGCCAGAGTTGAGACCCAGGATTAATCCCATATTCTGCTAAAACCACACCAACACGAGATGTTTTTGTGTAGACTTCCTATAGCAATGGCTGGAATTCTGGAGTCAGCGTGTCTTAACTGCTTATCAGCAGGAATATTTCTTGAAACAAAGAATTTCATTTGAACAAAATTCAATCTACATAGCCAGACATTCCTATTGCTATAATGTGTTTGTTCTAATACTTCATATCTACCTCATATTCATATCGTCTCAATTGGCAGTTTAAGTATTATGTTCCGAACTGTAGCAGATCACCTTTTTGATGGAAACTGGCAATTGTTGCCATTGAACTGTCTGAAAGATTGGGCTAGTTTCATAATTACTTCCCACTGGCAGAGGTTTGATACTTACACCATTAGGATATATTTATAGTATTTTAGAATCGGGGTAATCAATATGAACTTTTGATCTCTTATTGGCATGGATCTGGTATCTTTAAAAGTATTTATATTAGTACTGGTCGACTATTAATTCACGGCCATCACTTTCAAAGATATGAAAACCATCAGTTGTGCCCATTTCCATAAGTTACTTAGTCAATGTGGCTAAGTGGAAGTACCCAAATATTTATCATCCTATACCGATGCCCCAAAAATACTGCAGATTTGATTTTTCTGAACGTTCCAGAACACCATTTTAGACTTTCAACGCATAGTCCTATTGCAAGAAAAAAAGTTTGTGAAAGACACAAATGAATGACAAATGCAAGGCAGCAAATTAAACAAAAAAAACACAAGAAATATTCTGCACAATTAAATAACTGCTCTTACCATTATACATGGAGAATCTGCACATTTCTAAATAAATATACAAACTGGTTTTCCACGACCTTTTGTAAACATCCCATTTCATCCTCCCCCTAAAGCTTTCATACACTGGTTTCAGGTGTTGGTAGAATTTCACCATTTTTTCCTTTCTCGTCTTTCAAGAATTGCTCCACTTCTACAGAATCATCGTTTTCCTGTTTCTTCTGCTTCGCTCCTCCTTCCTCATTTTTTGCAGGTTTTTTCGATATACAAAATAAGTTTCCAAAAGTAAGCACGAGGGCAGAGAGAACCACTTCACCTCCAGCCAAATAGAAAATGATCTTGTACTGCTTTGTACTGTCCACTAGTTTCCCTGAAAATAGGCACAATGTGAAAAATCAGTACTTTTATATTAAACCTCTTTAACAGTCATATGAAAGGACAAAAAAAACACTTCCTGACATTTCAACTCCGAGGCTGTCCGCAGCCTCTAAGCATCTCAAAGTGTTCCATCTAATAGCAACTATAAGCATTATTTACCCATTTCCTTGCCCATTAAAGGGAATCATAGCTTAGGGTGTTTCAGCATCCTGGTCAGGAAGGAGAATTTGCTTCCTGATGCTTTTGAAGCACTTACATTTGGAGGGAGAGAAAGGGAGGTGTTCAAGGCTATAGTACATACTGCACTAAAAACACTTATTCATTATTATTACTCAATTGTTTTCATTGATCCTAGTTATTTTAATGTAATATCTAGAAAAAAAGTTTCCAAATTACTTGTATGCAAACATACACATTATTATATATACTTACCAACTCCAGGAGGACCAATCAAGACAGCCATGGCTTCGACTAACAACACAAGCCCAATTGCACTGGGGAACTTCTCCGTGCCAACAAGGCACATCAAGACTTCAAATTGCAGTGCTCCGACCATTCCATAGGACATTCCGAAGAAAATACAGAAAACAACCAGTCCAGTATAATCAGCACTCACGGAGCCACCGAGATCTGTCAATCCGTTGAACATCATGGCAAAGGCGAAGAAATACACAACCCGGGGCCGAACCCGTTCCATCCCCGCAATAATGCCACACAGAGGCCGAGAGAACATATCCACAAATCCCAAGATAGTCAACAGAAAAGCAGCGTCTGTGTCTTTCACTCCTATGTCCTTTGCATAACTTACAACAAACACAGGAGGTACAAACAGACCAAGAACCATGATGGAAGCTGCAATTGTGTATATCACAAAGCTTCTGTCTTTAAAGACTGCTAAGTTTAGCAGACTTTTCTTCTTTTGCACTGTCTTTGGACTTTCTGCGTTTGTTTCTTCTATTGCTTTCTTTTTGAGCTTTGGTTCCAGGGGTCTCATGAGTGCTGCACATACACAGCAATTCAGCAGCAAACCACCAAGTATGAAGAAGCCCCCTCGCCAGCCATAATTATGGGACAGAATCTGATTGAGTGGAGAGAGAGCACACAGAAACACTGGGCTCCCAGCTGCAGATAAGCCATTTGCTAGTGGGCGGCGCTTATCAAAGTAACGGTTTATCATGATGAGAGATGGTTGAAAGTTCAAGGCTAGACCCAGACCTAAAATGAGAACAATGCATTTGTTTATTTAGTTGTAGCTAAAAACAGATGTTCAATTCAAGTACATTGCGTTTTAAGATCATAAACCACGTTTTAATAACTTAAAATCCAATTTGGTTTAACATAGCAGCATGAAATTTATAATTGCCAATGTAAATTTAACTAAATTTCCCAACTGAAGAATACTACATTCTCTCTAGTATTATTGTGCAGGATTCTATGTTGAACAGTTTAAAATGTCAGGACAAAAAAGAAAGCTGAAGCTTTCCAAACCATCTACTGATTACATTTTCCCCATAATGTCATTTATTGTAGAGATTGCTTACCGGTGATGACACCACCAGTAAAGTAGACCTGGATAATGTTGGTACTGAATGATGCCGCTATCATTCCAAGTGATGCAAACAGGCCTCCCACCATCATCACAGGACGACAGCCAAAACGATTAACCAACACACTGCACAGTGGCCCTGAGTCACAAAGAAAACAATACATTACTGAATTAATAACATGTCAAGTCTAAACGCATCATTGTTTTAGCCCGGCATACATTTCATTTTACCACAGCAAGACCCAATCAAATAAAAACTGTCATATCACAGTTTCTAAATTGCAAGCTTAAAAAGTTTGATGTAAACAAACTGCAAGTTTGGAAACAGAGTGCTAATCTGGTGGATCATCCTCTGTTGTGGGGCTACTCCTGCATGCAGTGCATTACCATTGGTTGTAATCCAACACATGGCAAATTGTTTCTACTGTAATTGTAAGGATTATTACTGTAAGTTTTTTGGAGTTGAATTACTTCTAAAATGTGATTAAGGCATTTGAACAAAACTCTATGGCTAGAAGGTAACCTGGAAGCATTTTAGTCATACTCTAATTGTTATCACCAATTCTCCAATTTCCCCAAGATTATCGGGAAAGGAATAGAAATCATATTAACAGAGGCACTCGATTTTTGTACTTAACTGAATTACTAAGGGCTGCCATACCGTTATGAACAGGAGACCTTATGTAAAGCCTATTATTAAGTAAGTATGTAACCTATATTATTAAGAATGTTAATTATTTCAGCCACATGTTATTTCCATACTGAATTAATGCTTACCTGTTCCATACAACATGGCGAGTAGAATGGAGGAGATCCAAGCAGTATCACTGTACCCAACATGGAACTCCTTGATTAATTCCTTGAAGTAGACACTGACAGCTTTTGGAAATGCATACGAGAACCCAGTGACGATAAAACATGAAAGGAGAATAGCCCAAGCCCAGCCTCCGTCAGGGGCTTTCACTTCTGAGGGGTGATCATCTGTGACAACGACCCCCATTCTTCAGGCTATATCCTGCAAAGTTAATGAGACCAAGGTCACTTGTAAAGTTAAAATATAATATTTCAATCCCAGGTGTCTTTCACTCAACATTTTAAAATATCATACAATAATTTTGTTTTAAACAACTACTTCTCATAACACTTATCAAGAATCATACAATCAATTCTTCCTCTCTGAACCCATCAATGCTCTTTTGAAGAGGCGAAGACCAAAGACCAAATCAATGATGACTAACATAATGTTAAAATACTTTTCATCTCAGGACAAAGGCAGATTTCACTTGCTCCAGATAGATTTTTATAATCCAAACAAAAAGTGGCTACATGAGACTACCGAACTGATGACAGACAACTTGATTCTACTTAAAATTCCTAAGGAATCAAGTATTTCAAGATAAGTGTCGGATAAACATAGCAGCATGGATTTTCCAATGCAATATTTGAAAATAAAAGTACCCCCATTACAATACAACAAGATTACATTTGTATAGCGCCTTTCACATCGGGAGGACGTTCCAAGACGCTGAGAACATAAACACTCCAATTAAATTTAAGGCAATGAAGTCATCGCTGTTACGATCTTACTCAATAGCAGCACCCTTTCCAGCTTCCAACTTGGATAAACTTCTTTGCCCTGCAATGCTTTCCAACTTAACTGACCCAGGTTTCACCCTGCCTGCATTAATTGGTTCTTTAAAAAGCTTGACATTTTCATGAATTTATGATTGGCGATTGGTCTGTTCCTCAAGTCCTTCCAATGAACGAGGCTGTCTCATCCATTGACAGTGTCCTGGGATTCTGTGAATTTGCTGAGCTCAGGTCTCAGATTATTGAGGATTCCAGAGGGATTGACTCAATACAGATGTCAAGCTTTTTTTGCCAAGCTTGACACCTCAAAGCCAACTCAGCTCTAAAGAAACGCTGCCAAAACCTCCTATCCAAGGAGGATAAGCCACTAGTTGCAGCAGGTTTCAGAAAGGCAATATATGTTTTTAATAAGATATTCACTCACATTATAAAAAACAAAAAAATTACACTTGTGTGGCATCTCTCATGTCAGGAGGACATCCCAAGGCGCAGGACAGTCAGTGTTTCGGACCCGAGCTACGGGTCGGGATCTGGGAGGGTTGAGGGCGGGGGTGGGGGGAGGCGGAGGGACTACAGAATGGAGTTCCAGAAGTGGGGACAGACTGGCTGAAGGTTCCCACACCAATGGTGGGGCGGGCAAGGCGGGGACGTGAAGCAGGCCAGAGCCCGCTGAGCAGAGGAAGCGGGCAGGTTGGTAGGGGGGAGCAAGGCCAGGGAAGGCTTTTAAGGTGAGGACCAGGATCTTGAACTGTATCCTCTGTGAGACGGGAAGCCTAGTCAAGCCTAGATGTTATGAATGTGTGTATGAGGGTTTCAGCGACCTGTGGTGTGAGACAGTGGCGGAGTTGGGCGATGTTGCAGAGGTGAGGAAAGGCAGAGCAGGTGATGGCATGGATGTGGAGTAAGTAGAAAGGATAGTTGAGGGTCAAACAAAACGCCATGGTTTTACAAGAACAAGCATTTACAAGGTTTTAGAATTTTTTTTTTACAGCCAAGGTAACCTTACTCGTTTGATAGACAGTACCATGAACCACAGACAAGCCGCCTGTTCATTTGCACTTCACATAAATCAGATCACTGAGCAGATCACAAATCAATTGGCTTCTGAACGTGACCTTCTGAGCAAATTAATTTTGGGAATAACGCCAATCTAAAAATAGACACGGTCAATTCAGTCACACTAAAACCAACACAAGAAAAATAAAAGGATCAAATGTTTCTAAAAGCAAGAATCAAAATGTGTGTTAAATGAACAGGCCTGTCTGAGGTTCATTGTGCTGTCCTCCCTCCCAACCAATCTGCTTCTCAAAGTGTTAACTAATCGTGAAGAAAGCTTCTAAACCACCCTTCAGTCCTCACCCAAGTAGCCATTCTCCATGTGGCAACCAAAGCAGAAAGCATTTACAAATGCAATTACCAGTAGTATTTTATTCCCTTCCTTCCATCCCCCAGAGGATCGAATTCAAGATCCTCACCCTCACCTACAAGGCCATTCACGGCCTTGCTCCCTCCTACCTCTCCGACCTACTATCCCCCTACCTACCCTCCGTTCCTCTGGCTCCGGTCTGCTCCACATCCCCCGCCCCAACCGCCCTACTATCGGTGGTCGGGCCTTCAGCCTCTCAGCCCCGAGGCTCTGGAACTCTATCCCCCAGTGCCTTCGCTGCTTCCTCCCTTTCCTCCTTCAAGGACGGTCTCAAGACCTTTCTCTTTGATCGTGCCTTCAGCTCCCCTCTCGACTCTCTACCCCCTCCTCGCTCCCTCCCTTCCCTCCCCTCCCCTGACCATTTCCCCCTTGCTCGGGTCCTGACCCAACTGTACAGCGCCTTGGGACGTCCTCCCGACGTGAAAGGCGCTCAATAAATGGAATGTTGTTGTTGTTCCCCCCACCAACCACCCCCCCCACCCGTCCTAGGGATACCAAAGTCAATTGTATAATTAATTCTCCAGCCAAGCTCAGCCCCATTTTATATATTCTCTTAAGTGCTGGTGGGGTCATTTCTTCCCCCAAGATAGGTAACTGACCTGCTTTCAGGGCCTCAATTCTGCCACTCTTTTAGCAGCTATTAGAATATGGCACAGCAGTGCTAAAATCTGTTTTTTTCCTGTCACACAAAGATTTTGCAGCACCCCTTGGACAACTTGGCCAAGATAAACAGCTCAATCAGAAAATTACAACTGTAATCTTATCTCAATTTAGTATGCCAGCAACTCATTGTGCATCAGATTTGGTTTCAGTGCATCGCTTTCCAGTGGCATCTTAAAACCTTTCATCTTTCAAACTCTCCAAAATATGGCAGGTTTGGTAAACCTTCATCAATATGTGACCCACTTCACTTGAGGCTGACCAAGCTGGAGGTTTCTTTGAAATTCTTTCACCTGTGAACTTCTTCCTTCCCCTTGTGTATACTTTTGAAACATTACTACTTAACCCAGCTTTATAACCAGATGTCATGCCAACCAGATTATGTGGTCGTTTTACAACAGAGCAAGGAGATAAATTTTCAGATGTTTTTAATAGTTTTGATGGGCAACAACAACAACCTGCATTTATATAGCGCCCTTCACACAGGGTAGCGTTCGGAGCGCTTGAAGTGTGTGAATATTGCAGATTGTAGGTTTGCATCTGTGATGAAGCTTTCTTGCCAAAAGTATTTTCATTTAATAATCAACATCAATTATTTGCCTGAAGGTGCAAATATGTCATTCGGGTTGAATGACCAAATGATCTCAGCATATGTAGCCTTTAGATTGGCTCATCTTTAAAAAATTCACACCATCTCTTTGCAAGGCCACCACTTTTAAAGGTTGAGGTGAATCACCAGATGCTGCAAAGTTTCCTTCAGCTAATCTAAAGGCTGATTTAGTTCCAAGAAGTCAGGAATAGACCAAGTAACGTATGAAAGTACAACCAACAGGTCTGAAATGTCTAACCTTTCCATGACATTCAGAGTGCTCAAGCTTGGCAAGGCTCTTGCACACATCTGAAGATTATTTGCATTGTCAAGAGGACAACAGCAGAAATAGCAATAGCTGTACAGATCATTTGAACGTTTAAGTAAGCCCCTTGAAGGTCGAATAGTACATTCTGATGGCTTGGCACCATGGTCAACAGAATTCAATGGTAGTCAAAAACAAAATTCAGTTTTATGCAATTCATACAGGCAGAGATGCATTGCAGTCACTACATTTTGCAGTATATTCTGTGAGGCGATTTGGGACATCCTCCCGATTATTGTACGCATGGATGGAAGAAGTCCCTTCCTGCTGAAAACAAGACTAATATTGGCAACTTCTAAAATCAGTGCTGCAATTACTTCCCCAGCATTAGCAGACATTGGGTAAAATCATTCAAAATTGATAAACTGATAATAAATCCTTGCATTTGATATAGTGCCTTTTTGTGAGTTTGGGACGTCTCAAAGCGTTTCACAGAATATACTGTAATGTGAATTGACTATGTATTTTGTGGGCGAAACACGGCAGCCAATTGCTCATAGCAGTGTCCCCACAAACAGTCAAAACCTGCTCAACATTTCGCCCGCCGGGAATCAAACCCAGGTCTCGCTTTTGAGGCAAGTGCTCTAATCACTGAGCTACAGGACTAATGAGTAATTAATAAATTAGAAAATGCATATGTTGTACAGTTTCTGCTTTAATCCAGTGATAAAAAAGCAAAAGGGGAATTCCTACCAGAAAAAAAGTTAAGTGAGTCATTGACAATACAGATTTATCGGACATAATGATGAATTTAACCCTCTCCCACATAAACTGTTTTTTATTTTGAATAAGATGTAGTCTGTCCAATTCTTTTCTAATTTCTCCCCATTGGCACATGCGTTATACTTAAATAATAGCTGGAGGGTAACCAGCCTTCTCATGCATCGATAAAGGTCACCCTCCGGCAATTATTCGAGTATAAGCATTGGCAGGCCAACTGACTGCAGAGGGCGCCAAAGCCAAGTCTGACCTCTTCTCATCAGGCGTTGTGAGGCATTCCTCTGATCTTTCCATTCTGGAGGGGGGGATCGGAAGCTTAAAAATAAAAATGGTGGTTCTGCAACTCTGGCCATCATTCAGAGAGGCCTGGAAATCAAGATACCCGCTCGCTCTCTGAAGAATAGGTGTTACATGGTCTTGTGTTAAACACCAATCAGCAGTATAATGAGAATCTAGTTCAATGTGCAATACCAAAATGAATATTTGTCCTAAAATTGTATTGATGATACTACTGGATTATGATTCACAAATCCAACTCCAACGTGGGTGCTAGATAATGAGCAGTAACAGGAACCCCTTGAAAGATGTTGTCCTTCCCCCATTAGACCAATATTGGAGCTCAAATATTTACTTTTTAAATAGTTAATAAGCACAGTTAACAGGGATTGTAGGATAGACTCAAAATGTGAAGAGCATCATATTCGC